TCAGCCACACACACACGCACACAGCCACACACACACGCACACAGCCACACACACGCACACAGACACACCCACGCACACAGACGCGCACAGACACACAGACGCACACAGACACACACACGCGCACACAGACGCGCACAGACACACAGACGCACACAGACACACACACGCACACAGACACACACACGCACACAGACACACAGACGCACACAGACACACACACGCGCACACAGACACACAGACGCGCACAGACACACAGACGCGCACAGACACACACACGCACACAGACGCGCACAGACACACACACGCACACAGACGCGCACAGACACACACACGCACACAGACGCGCACAGACACACAGACAAACAACAGTTGCACAAACGCACACAGACGAACGTGGACAGCTGAAAAAACAAACTCGCAAACAGAACCAAAATCTCAACTCAATTTCCCTCTCCGAAACGAGGTCTCTGGCGCACGGGATGAGACAATGAATCTCGATAGGCTCTCACCTCATTAATTAACGGATGGCAATTAAGATATGTCAGTCACCCTGACGAGGAGAAGCGGGAGATGCGGGGACTTCCCTGGCACCATCTCCCTGCTCTGTCTCTCCATATCTCCCCCTCCCGGTCTCCCTCTCCGTTTCTCCATCTGCCACCGTCCCTGTTCCATCCTTCCTTATAAACTATTTAAAGCTATAAACTTGTTTTTTTTTTTACCAGGTAAGATCCACTGAGCTACATGGCTATCACAAATGATAGAACAACGAAGTGGCTTATCATCAAAGTGAAAATGAAAATCAGCCAATAACTCTGAACGCGTGATGTCGATTCGAAATGTGGAGGGGGAAGAAACGGAGGACCTGGAGAAAAATCCACGCGACCACGGGGAGACACGCAAACCTCAAATATACAGAAGGCGTTAGGGTTAGGATCGAACCCACGACCTCCTGTATACCTTGCGAGGTAGTTAACATCTCACCACGGAGAGAGAGACACGCAAACTCCAAATATACAGCAGGCGTTAGGGTCGGGATCGAACCCACGACCTCCCGTATACCAGGCGAGGTAGTCAACATCTCACCACGGAGTGAGAGGCACGCAAGCACCAAATATACAACATGCGTCAGGGTCGGGATCGAACCCACGACCTCCTGTACACCAGTCGAGGGAGTTAACATCTCACCACCGTGACATCCTTATTTCTCCTCACCCTCTTCATACCTCCCTCCCGCACCCCTCTTCTCTATCCCTCTCAATTCCAGCACCCCTCCCTCCATCTGCATCCCTCTAAATCCCCCCCCCCCTCCTCTCCATCTCCCTCCCTCCACACCCCTTACCATCCATCCCTCCCTGCCACCGACCCATCAGCCGATGCATCACTGGCGTTCGAGTAAAAGTGCTTGCCGTGTGTGAGATTAAACACGGGCCCATTGTCTTCGTGTGCATGCCTCCGTGTGTGTGTGTAGTATGTCACGGTGCATGTTGTGTATCATCACCATCGCCTTGTGGGGAGCGGTAGTGTAGTGGATAGCGCTGAGCTGCGCTACCAGCCCGGTGACCCGAGTCCGATTCCCCACTCACTGTCACCAACACCGGGGACGATTATCTTAACCGGTCCTGGGCCTCCCCTAGGTCGACTCAGCCTCAAATGAGTACCTGGTGAAGCAGCCGGACGTGGTGCTGGCCACCCACCCCCTCGTGTGCTGACGGCCTTCAGAGGTGCTCGCTAACAGCACTTGCCCCGACAGTCGGTCAAGGCTATGCGGGGGGTCTTTGTCTTTGTGTCACGATGCGCGTGTTAGTGCGTGAGTACACGCCTTTGTGTTCCCACGTCATGCACCAAATTCGCCACGTTCTAAAATAAAAAAATGTTTAATTATCGCTCACTCTCTCCCACTCATGCAGTCACACACTCGCATCCACCAACAGCCAGTGGCGAACCAGGCACCACGGCGCTTGTGCCAGGCTATGTGCACCTTGAGGCCATCACGTGAAGTGTCGAATCCTTGGGCTGATTGACTGAGATTACTGGCAATGCTGTGCTCCCCACTGTAGCACCACCTTGCTGTGTTTTGGGTCACCCGGCGCTCTGCTCGTTGTTGTGAGCGGTCACTCCTCCGTGACCTCGAACTGCCCAGGGGCTTCCTTCACGAGCCTCCTCCACAGAGGCCCCATTTTGACATCGCTGGTACCAAGTCATCAGCAAGTCCACTCAGCTCCAATATCCTCCCGTACCGCATCAGCCCATCTCTGCTCCAGCCCGTGCCGCGCCCATTTAGGCCCCTCTATCCGGCCAAACGGAAGCTGCCTGGCCATGCGGTGGCTGGGCATGCGGGCTGCATGAACCAGCCAACGCTTGCCGGAGGAACTCACTGATCGGATATTTCAATAATCTCTGAAGCTCCTCGCAACACAATCCAATTTGGATGAATCGAACAGGACTATGTAGGCAGGACAGCCCGTGCAGGTGATTCGGTAACAGGGTTTACCTTTTGCAATCATATTGTTGCGGTTCCACGTCTTTGTTTATTCATTGCTGATTTTGCTCGGTGGCAGGGTTTTAATTTGCTTGGTAGTGGCCGCATGTGAAATATGGTCCTTGTGTCTAGAATTAATCAATCAAGTTTTATTTCGAGAGCACTATTTGTGCACAAAAAATAATGCAATACACAGTGATTTACAGGCATAAACAATTAAAGTGAAATTGCAGGCAAATAAAAATCACGTTGTAACACATTTCTAACAATTTACTGCGTTACGGGATGCCACGAAAGACGTATTATAAAATAAGAATATTATCGTTGTTGTAATTCACAGTGTTTTTGTCCCTTCCAATCAGACCCGGATATTTCTTTGGAAGCGACAGTCCATCCACATCCCACGATGTATCACGCTGCCTACGCTCGAGCGATCCGGAGTGAGAGATCCCCGCTGCCAAAACCCCGGGTTGGCTTGGTGCACAAACACATCGCGCCCAGGTCTGGGAACTCCTCAACAATCTCCACGACTGCCCGCCCCCCCCCCCATAGCTGCGCGTGCAAAGTGGGGGCTTGAGTGTTCAAAGCCAGACAACACCCGGGGTGGAGAGGGGGGGCACGTGCTTTGTTCAGGCGGAGCTGATGGGTCAGGCCTCACCCTCTCTGTGACACGTGCCCCGTTCGGCGGCTGGAGTCTCCGACCCATTCCCAAGAGTGAGCAGCGATTTCCAGGCCATCCGCACGCAAAAACAATTTCCCGGTAAGGGAGCCATCTCTTGCGTGGCCCCCGCGTTACCTACCAGCCTCCCACTCTATCTGTGATCGTGCAACGCGCCCATGTGTGGGAGATGGAGCGATGACGTCATGCGCGTATTATATGAGGAGCGGTGGCGCAGAGGTTAGCGCGCTGCGCTACAAACCAGGCCTCCTCCTCCTCCTGTGCGGGGTGGATTGAGACGCCGCTGGATTGTGGCATCGTCGCGGTACCACCGCGTGAGATGGCGACGGTGTCGTTGGTGGCGAGGCTTTATAACTCATCCAGCAGTGGATAGGCAATGCACGGCTCGTGATGACGACGACGATATTGATGGCTGCTGCTGGCGCTGCTGCCGCTGATGATAACGATGCTGATGAATTACATCTCTGCAGCAAATCCTAGCCAGAGCCCAAACCGCACCCTCCATCACCACAAATTATTTTGTGGTGGTGCTGCCCCTGCTGCTGTTGCTGTATTGGCGAACAAAATAACAAATAAACTCAACACTATCGTCAAGAGCACTGTGTGTGTGGCCTTAAAAGGGGACAGAATATAATAGGCGACGTTTCGGGCAATGGCCCTTATTCATCGCAGCAAATCAGTTCATATGCTGTACATAATTTATGTGCCATGTATAATGGGCATTGCCCGAAACGTCGTCCATCATCATCACCATCACACGGTCTCGTTGCAGCAAGAACGCCAGGCGACAGAGACCTCATCTGCACGCAGAGCCTCGCTCCAGCAAATAATGCCGGCCAATTCGCGTCCTCATCCTCCTTGTCAATCAATACGCGCACGCGCCCCGCGCGCGAGTGTGTCGGTGCATGCTGCCATCAGCTCAATGAAACAAGAATGCATATCCGCGTATCATTGTACGTGTGTGTACGTGTGTGTGTACGTGTGTGTGTACGTGTGTGTGTGTGTACGTGTGTGTGTGTGTGTACGTGTGTGTGTGTACGTGTGTGTGTGTACGTGTGGTGGTGGGGGAGCGGGAGTGCAGTAGTTATCGCACCGCGCTACGAATCCTGACCACCCCAGTTCGAATCCCGCTCACGGCCAACACCCAGTGACGATTCTCTGAGCCGGTCCTGGGTCTCCCCTAGGTCGACTCAGCCTCATACCTGGTGCGGTGCGTATTACCACTAGGGAGACAAAGGCGGCCGGGTGTGGTGCTGGCCACCCACGCCCTCGCGTACCGTACCGGCCTCAATTGTTGCTCGCTAACAGCACTTGCCCCAGCAACCCGTCAGAGGCTGTACGGGTGATCTTTGTCTTTGTGGGTGTGTGAGTGGATGCATACGGATGGATGCATCGGGATGAAGGTAATGGGTTCATTAATTCCATGAGACGGCTCTCGCTGTCGTTCTATCTGTGCCGTTATCATCGCCCTCTGTCCTTCCCGATCGTTCTCTCCCTCGCGCTATCATTGTGTCGTTCTCTGCGTCGTTCTCTGCGTCGTTCCCTCTCGCTTCGTCATTCTCCGTGTCGCGCTGTCTCTCGCTCGCTCTGTATCGCTTTTCCGTGTAATTCTTTCACTCTCTGCCGCTCTCTCTCTATCGTTCTCTCTGTGTCATTCTATCTGTCATTCTCTTCGTCTCGCTCCCTCGTTGTGTCATTCCCCTGCTCTCTGCCGCTCTATTGCGCTCTCTCGTTCTCTCTCCATCATTCGTTCGCTCTCCGTGTCATTCTCTGTGCGTCATTCTCTCGCTCCCCCCCCTCTCTATTTCATTCTCTCTCTCATTCTTTCGCTCTCTCTCTTACCGAAATCTCGGCGAGTCTTTGAGGCATTCGTCAAAATCCACCGTCACCACCATGATGACGACGATGGCTTCGTTGTTCCACGTTTCTCCGAGTTCACCACCACCACCGCCTCCTCCTCCTCGAACCTCTGTCTCCTCCTCCTCGTCGTCTTCCACCACCACCACAGCCGCCTCGGCCCCGCTGGTCAGGCGAGCTGTGAACAGCTCAGCAGCTCAGAGCCCCCTCCCTTCTCTTCCCTCTCCCCTCTCTCTCTCTCCTCCCTCTCCACCCTCTCTCCCGCACCACGCCTGCGTCACGCGAATGCAAGCACCGTGATCACGCGTGTGTGTGTGCCACTCTGTGTGTGTGTCTGTGTGTGTGTGTGTGTCTGTGTGTGTGTCTGTGTGTGTGTCTGTGTGTGTCTGTGTGTGTCCCTCTGTGTGTCTGTCTGTGTGTCTGTGGGTGTCCCTCTGTGTGTCTGTGGGTGCATGTGCGAGTCTGCGCGCGTGTCTCTGTCTGTGTCCATGTGTCTCTGGGTCTGTGTGTCTATATTTGTGTGGGTCTGTGTGTGTGTTTGGGCGTGTGTGTATGTATGTGCTCTGCGTGTACAGTATATGCATGTGGTTCTATGTGGGCGTTTGTGTGTGCACATTTACACTCACAAAGACGTCCCGTATAGCCTTAACAGACTGATGGGGCAAGTGCTGTTAGCGAGCACCTATTGAAGGCCGGCACGGCACACGAGTGGGGTGGGTGACCAGCACCACGCCCGGACGCTTTTGTCTCCCCAGTGCTAATGTTCACACAACACCACACCAGGTACTCATTTGAGGCCGAGTCGACCTAGGAGAGGCCCGGCTTATATATTCACCACTGTTATTGGTCGTGAACAGGGCGATCCAACGGGGTCCTTTGCCGGGTTTGCTGCGCGATGCGCTAACCACTGCGCCACCGCTCCCTCCACGCAGACGTCCAGCCTCTCCCCGCGGTGGATGGCGCAAAGGAGGCGAGCGAGGGACGCGAGGAAGGAGGAGGGAGATGGGGCGGGAGCTGGGAGAGAATGGTGGTAGAGAGGGAGGGAGATGGGGCGGGAGCTGGGAGAGAATGGTGGTAGAGAGAGGGAGGGAGATGGGGCGGGAGGGGTGAGAGAATGGTGGTAGAGAGAGGGAGGGAGGGATCTGCGAGGGGAGATGGAGGAGAGATGGAGGGAGGAGCGTTGCGCTTTGAATTAATAATTATCATCAGCATCACCACCACCAGCACTACTACCACCACCATCATCAGCATCACCATTATTACTACCACCACCATCATCAGCATCACCATCACCATTATTACTACCACCACCATCATCAGCATCACCATCACCATTATTACTACCACCACCATCATCAGCATCACCACCACCATCACTACTACCACCACTACCACCACCATCATTAGCATCACCACCACCACCATCACTACTACCACCACCACCATCATCAGCATCACCACCACCATTATTACTACCACCACCATCATCAGCATCACCACCATCATCAGCATCACCACCACCATCACCACAATTACCATCATCACCACCACCACCACCAGCTTCGCTTGCGTCATCGCGTCCTCGTGTTCCGCGTACCGGAATCCGATGCCCACAGCGACAGCTCCGGGGGTGGCTGCTGTTGTTGTTGTTGATGCTGCGGCTGCTGCTGTTGTTGTTGTTGTTGCTGCTGCTGTTGTTGTTGGCATGGGACACCGTGGTGTAGCGTTAACGAGTAGCGGGCAGCCCTTTGCTGTTGTCTATCGTGTCTGCGTGTCCATCTGGTTGTCAACGCGCGTGTGTGGAGTGTTGTCTCGTGGGGAGCGGTGGCGCAGCGATCAACGCGCTGCGCTACGAAACCGGCGGACTCTGGTTAGAATCCCGCTCACGGGCAACATCAGCGGTGAATATCTAAGCCGGGCCTGGGCCTCTCTTAGGTAGACTCAGCCTCAAATTAGTACCTAGTTCAATATGTAAATATCGACACTGGGGAGCCAAAGACGTTCGGGCGTGGTGCAGGCCTCTCTATAGGTGGTTGCTCACAGCACTTGCCCCACCAGTCTGTTAAGGCTATGCGGGGGATCGTTGCCTTTGTGTCTTGTGGCGTTGGCATCCGCGTGCCGCTGGCGCTCATAGCGGCGAGGCCCGCGAATGTGAAATTCTCACGACGGGGGCGTGATGGGATTCGCATTGAAGAACTCCGTCGACGGAGCGTACGGTCACAGCATTAGCGAATAAGCCAGCCCACATCCATCCATCGTGAGTGGCTCGTGTAATGACACTAACGATGATTTTTTTAAAAACTCGACACATTTATCAATAAGTGTCCTTAAAATGATAAATACATTAAAATTTTGCGTTTGATGGTAGCAGCAGCAACATCGATGTGGTTCAGGGAGCTCGATACCAATGTCGAGGTCCGCTCCTGCTGCCACGACGAGAGGGCTTCAGCAGTGAGAGAGTTCGTGTCAATTATTATTATTATTAGACGAGATCTGACGACTTCGGGCACATTTCGACTGATCCGGTCACAGTCGCATGAGCGAGCAGCAGCTGCTCACTCATGACAATAATGAGAGGGGGGGAAGGGGGAGTGATGCCGAAGCTAAATTGGTGACGCTAATTAAGGCAAATTGGGTGTGACGTCACTGCAGCCGGATGAAACCCCTGCGGTGGTGAGATGTCAACTACCTCGCCTGGTATGCAGCAGGTCGTGGGTTCGATCTCGACCCTGACGCCTGCTGCTGTATATTTGGAGTCTGCGTGTCTCTCTCTCTCCCCGTGGTTGTGGATTTTTCTCCGGGTCCTCCGGGTTTTCCCCTCCACATTTAGAATCAACATCGGGCGTTGAGAGTATTTGGTTGCTGTACATTTCCACACGATAAGCCACTTCGTTGAGCTATTATTTTTGGCCAGGTCGCTTCTGAAAAAGAGCTGCATAGCTCAGTGGGGTCTTACCTGGTACAATAAAAAAAAATTGACTGCGAGACGCGGTGGTGGGTGGCGTTGGGGCAAAGGCAAACGAAGCAAATGGTTAGGAGCCCCCCCCCAAAGTTGTCCAAGGGCCCCCCGCCGGATCCACGCAAATAAATTTGAATTCTGTGGCAGAGATATCTGGATCGTACCCGCGTGGTTAAGGCCTTCATCGAGTAGCGGGATCCAGAGGGCTTCACATTGCAGGGCGCTTCACAAAAATGTGAACACTTCTGAGAATTTGCAAAAATACCACGATGAATGCTGTGCCTCCGGGCTCTGGAGACAATGATGGCGAACAAGTGTAAGACTCTTTGACCTTTTTAAGCTATATACATTTGTTATGTTACATTGTATTATCCGTTCTCTTGCCATTAAAAACGATAATCCCATACAACTGTTAACGTGTTTTTAAGCACCCTGTAACTATGGAAATATACAACGAGGCAATGCGCTGGTGATTAATCGTGTTTTTGTACGCCGATGACCAACTGCTGGTTTGAGGCGTTAACACGACACCGTTGAACCTGCAGCTTTCCACAAGAGGTGTGGGGGAACCATTGAATGTCAAGATAAAGAACCCGCGCATCGCCTCTCCCAGAGGAATCGGCAAACAAAAGAACAAGAGAAGCCATTTGTTTCTAATTCAGTAGAAAAAACAACAACAGCCCCTCAATGTCTCAAGAGCCGCAATGCAACGCGGGTACGAGACGGCGGGGTCCTTCATAGATAGCGTCACGAGGCGGTCCTGAGTTTGCCGACCCCTGCCTGCCCTTTCGACAGAACTGTTGGGGGGTGAGGGGGGTCAAGTGCTGACCATGAAGGCCCCGACGGCACACGAAGGGCCACAATGCGGGCAGCACCGCTCCTGGCCGCTCGTCTCCAGTGGCGATGTTTACACAGCGCACCACGTGCTCATTTAAAGCCCAGAGCAGTTTAGATATTCACCACTGATGTTAGCCGGGTTCAAAATGCGAGGGGTCGTCAGGCTGGTAGCGCAAAGCATGACCCAACTGCATCCCCCATACCACCGGCCTTACAGAGACCGCCCATGTAGCCTGCAGGGATTCTTGGGGGCAAGCGCTGTTCGCAAAGCACCTCCGAAGCGAGCGCGCGGGCACGCCACGTGCACACAGCGAGGAGACAAGGACAGTTTTTACAAATTTAATCAGGCTTTTTTTTCCTCCATAAAACATGTTAAGTTTAATTACATTTGATGGAGTCGGGGAGACTGAGAAAATGAAAATAAAATGGGGAAAATTTTAAAAAATATATAGGAGGGATGTGGGGGGCAAGGAGGGGGTAAGGGCGGGGGGGGGCTGCCATAAAAAAGCCCATTTAACTGGTCACGTGTGAAACAGGTCCAAACTAATTTCGGCGAAACAAAACAATTGTACGATTTTTTTTTTGCTCACAAGTCTGAAAATCCAAACAAAACTAAAATCGGATTTCTGTACAGAGGGGGGAGGGGAGGTGGGGGGGGGGTTTGGTGGAACAAACTCAACCAACTAGAATCGGGACCTCTGGAGTTAGCCCCCACCCCAACGCCACCCACATTCCACATTGGCATCGATTCCGTTCGCGGATGCCGCGTTGTGCACTCTCGCGAGATTCATCATTCCCCAACCCTGCCCGCCAACCGGGGACAACTGCCAGACGCCCCACATCGAGCTGCGCTCTTTAACCCCACCACTGGCCGACTCGTCTCACGGTCAAGACACGAATTAAACAAACGGTGCTGCTGCTGCTGCTTCTGAGTTGACCCATCCATACTGGACATGTGGTAAAAAAGAGCGTCATCGCTCATCGGATTCCTCCCCCGGTCTAAAACACAGATACTGATCGCAGTCAGCAAAACAACTCAATCCATTCGTCAAGAGCACCGGCCTAAAAGGAATATAACCTGTGAAGTACACGCTTGGGGCAATGGCTCTTCTATCATACCAGAAACGATCTCCCCATTGCGCGCAATTTCACCTTCCTTATATATGCGTATGCTTTTGTTTCACGGCAGCGTTGCTGATGAACGCATTAAGTTGTTATATATAAAGAAGACAAGAGCTCAGCCACTTGAATTGCTCACTCAATGCTTGCAGCCGGAGCATTAATTTATCAGTCTTCCATCGTGTTTGACACGAATGCACGAAGACCCACGGCGGTGGTGGTGGCGGTGATGGCAAAGCACGTCTGCGATTCAGACTGCCTTGGAGGAAAGGGGTTGGTGTATCACGGTGACTTGTGTAAAATGCCAACATATTCTGGGATGCAAGGTGGGCACATGGCTGCTCAGCCGGTGGGCGCGTGCACCAACGTGTGTGGAATGTTATCCCTTTGTTACTCAAGATTGCTGGGTAAACATCGCAATGACTCGGAGAAGAATCTCCCAGATAAATAAATGGCGTTACGTTTTTTACACCAGCACGCGACAGGCAGCCAGTTCTTGTCGACGTTTTAAGAAATAAATGCATCCGAGTCATGGCTTCAACTGGTTGAGAGATTGGACCAAGAGCGCTTAAGACAGTTGTGAACAGCATCTCACGGACATCAGCAGGAACGTTTTGCGTCTCCAAAACCAGGTGTCCCTCGCTTTACGCGGGTTCGGTTTGTGCGATTTCACGCTGCTTACGCGGCGACCCTATTTCTACCCATAAATTCGCGACACTGCGCTGTTTCAATTCACTCCACATGCGGCTAAGCAGTGGGACGTGGGACGTTGTGTGTGTGCGCGTGTACTTTACGCGCTACTCGACCGCACAAAGCGGGGGAAACCTGTATAAGCAAAAACACGTTTTATTCCATCAGCCCATCGGCTTTCCGGGCCAATATTCTCAAGCAGCTGCAGCAGCAGCATTTGTTTCAAGGAAGCAAACTCTGGACCGGTTTCGACCATCTGGGTCTCATCAGCAGTCAGGCTCGTTCAAACAACTACTGCTGCCAACATCGTCCAATTGGCATTTATTCACCAACCCCGATTGCTGGTGGTCTGGAAAGCCGGTAGGAAGATGGACTAACAACACTTTTCACTCGTGCGTGGGGGGGGGGGCTGTGTGGGTGGGGTCGTGAAGCCGCAGCACGGAGTTCTGATTGTTTAGCCTTTGCCCGCGGCTCTCCACGGCGAGACGGAGTAACGGAACCTCGTGGATGGCACGATGTTCCGAGCGAGCCGCAGCCCGCCTCCAAAAAATTTAAACAAAATTTAAACATCGAGACCGTTATAAATATCCCCCAAAGGCGTTCCTTTCCAAACCAAAAATAACCACAACAAAGAGACGGTGACAAATTGGACCTACCCAGCAGGCTTTTCCCAGTTAAAATCCCACCAACTTCACACCCCGGCACCACTCTTCCGAACCACCAACATGTTCCACCATCACCAACACAATGTCTTGTGAATTGGAAGGGAAAAAAAATATCATATTTAAATACGAAGCTTCTCTATTCTGAAAAAGGGGAGGGGAGTGTGGTCACCACAACCTGAAATGCCATCTTCTTATTATTTGACAAGCTGCGTTCCGGACAGCGGTGGGGCGTGAGCGATCGGCCTTGCGGAGATCCTCCAGGGTTGCGACGCAGAACACTGGCGTCGTGACATTTTACTTTTCGTGAACTGCCCAACCGCTGGCATTCCTTTTTTTGTAGTTTTTTTCTCTTCTAAATGTCTCCCAACCACTCAATGGCTTACATTGTTACTCTATGAAGGGCGAGCTGCTGCTGCTGTCAGTTGAGTTCCTCTGTCGAGGATGGGGACTGGGGGGGCGGAGGGGATAGAATCCTTCATGGCCACATTTTTCCCAACAGCAAATAATTTCACTTTCGGCGAGGTGCAATGCCCTATGAACTTTTATCGACGAACTTCCCTATTGCCAACAGATACCTTAGCGAATAATAGCTGCAACTATTAGTCAGATTAATTCAACAGGAACAAAACAAATTTATAATCTGGGCGAATGATGCTCAAAAGATGTGGCATGGCTTTAGCAGCTGTGCCACACACTGCTGCAGTGATCCATCCCACATATTCACTGCTCCCATCCCATGCACAATGTTCTTCCTCTTAACCGATATAGAACTATCGTCCCATCCGCTGCAGCATCTTCTTGTCATCCAACGAACAATATTTTACCGTGGTCACTTAGATGACCCTAATTTCATCCCAATTAAAGTTCACTCGTCCCCGCCCAATAAAGAACTATTTAATCCGATATGGAATCTTCATATCGGCCGAAGTAGCAACCCTCGTCTCGTCTTTTGAGAAAACTCGTCTGGTCCGATACAGAACCCGTATCTCTATGCAATTAAGTACACTCGTCACATCTGAGACAGAGTTAGTACGTCCGATAGAGAACTTATCTAATCCAATTTAAAACAATTATCACACCCGATACAGAACCATTTCACCAATACAGAACCCTGGTCTCGTCCGATAAGAAACCTGGTCTCGTTAGTGTCACCACACTGGCCAATTCTTTAAAGTCATCATGTACCTACAAACCACGAAACACCGCAAACGGCTTCAACACTCGTCCGTAAAAAAAAATCATCACAACTGCGTAACTAATCAGCGAGTCGCAATCGGCCGCAACTGGGGTCCAAATACATTGCGATTGGTTTGGAGCTGCAGCTCTGATTTAACAAACAAAAAATCCACTGGCTCCTCATTTTAAAAACTGCAAACTTCCCTGAATGTTAACAAGACTCTGGCACCAGGAGTTCTCAACCAGCAGCCGGTTGCAACAACAAAAAACACACGGTTGTTAAAACTAAATAAGCCGATGATGATGAACAACGACTTTGCATGTTTTATGTAATCAGCAGAAGGAAGCTATTGAAACCGTAAAGGACCCCCCACACCCCGTGGCAGTCAGGGCAAGGGCAACACGGTCCGTAGCTGTCGGGCAACCGTCGACACACAGATGACGACCACATAGGTGCGTTTTTCGGCACAATGTCCGACGTTCCGTAACTCGAGCAGACTTGAAGAATTGAGGCTCCCAGCAGGTGTGGGGGAGGGGGGGGGGCGGAAACAACCTCGGACAGCGTTGCCCAACAGCGCGAGGAGGACGCAACCCACAAAGTACGCCGGGAGAGCCGCGCGGAGAAAGGACCTTTGGGAGACCGCGGGGAAGCGCAAGTGAAACTACGCGCCAACACATCGAGGAGATGCCACCACCGTAGCTGCTGGAATCGCGGCCAGTAAAACAGTTGTGTTGTTGTTGTCGTCGCCTGCACAAAAAAGCAAGATCGTGGACGGAACTATATTCTTGATTCTTTCGGTAGTCACGTAGAAGGGAAATAATAAGCTAAAAAAATACAACTACATTTTCTTGTTTTAAATGTTGTTATATTTTTCTAATTTTATTATTTCCCTTCTAAATGTTGTTTAAAATGTAATCGGTTACTTTTTATTATTTTATTATTTCCCTTCTACGTGACTTTACCGAAAGAACAAAGAATATGAATCCCTGCAGTCACGAAAGCTTTAAAGTGTACCGAACGGTCCGGCCGGGAGCACGAGAAGAGAAATATTGAGAGGCGGATGACCCGAGGCCCACAGACTCGGGACGGCAGCTTCGGCCGACGCGGTGGAGTCAACCACCCCGCGGTCGTAGCGAGCGGTCATCTGGCAACCTTGAACCCAATGCTTTAAATTTGGATTCAAAACGTGTTAACAATAATTTATGGCAAACGGAATAACATTAACTTGGATATCGCGAGATGGAAATGTTCAGTGGCGGAGGCGCGTTTACAAAGGGGTGGCTGGCTTGGTCTTTACGGACGTAATTTCTGTAACTCATTGGGTTTTTTTTGGGGGGGGGGGGGGGATGGACAGGGACAAAAATGATAACAAAAATATAAGCTTGCGATCTCGTACGGAATCGGGAACTGAACCCATCGGCGGCACAGACGACCGGCGGCGAGGCGGCGGTGCGGTCGACAAACAAAACCCCTTGGCGCGAACACCATCGCGGGAACTGCGATCGTTGGCGTTTTTTTGTTGATGTTGCTGTAATCAATGAGACCAGTGTGGCACAGCTTTGAGCGTTTGGCGCGTGTCGATGCCCCAGCATCATCGGCGGCGGTGGGGAAAAAAGTGCAAATAGACTGCCACAGGTCGCCCATCTCACGTCAAGCCAACGGGGCCGTCTCGAGAGTTGGCGGAGCTTCGGGGAGAAGCGGCCATCGTGTGACTCGCACCCCACAGGGGTCGTGCCGCGATGCTCGGCGGAAAGGTTTCCTCCACCTGGCCCCTCGCTTCGTTCCGCAAGCACGCGGTGCACGCGTGCCCTGCGTGTCGATCCGCTGGGTGTGCGCGTCGTTCGCGATCTGCCCGCGCGTGAATCGTTTCGCTCGCGGAGTTCCGCGGGGGGGGGGGGGCCGTCGCTCGCCGTCGCCAAGATCGACATTTCATTGTTTTACAAAAAAACTCGGACAACTTGACGCAGACTTCGGATTAGCACCAGTGCATTCGTTCTCGCTCGCTTACTCGAGACTGCCCTGCCTCCCCCTCTTGGTCGCTCGCACAGCATATGTTCACAAACCCAGCACGCGTGCGTGCGTACGTGCATGCTTAGACAGACGTGCACGTACGTAGATACCCGCGCGTGCGAGCAGTCGCACGACGTTATCGTTTTAAGATAACTCGCGAATGTAAGAGGCTGTCAAACCGTTCTGGGTACGACATAGTTAATAATAAATAAGATGACAGTTGTACTTCTTTATTTAGAGCTCTTATTTGTTAATTAATTCAACGTCCTTTATTTAACCACATGAGAGCCATTCCAACGTTCATTTGTCCGGGCACTCCGGATGTCCTCGATGTTACTTTTTTCCACTGGCACAACCGAGCCGCACTGGCACGGCGCCCTCATGGCCCCGGTGGTTTTTCAACTGGCTGTCTGTTGAGCCACGCCCACCGAGTTCGAAAGCTATTTTTCAGAAGCGACCAGGCCACGAATGATATCCCAAATGATGTGGCTTATCAGGTGGAAATGTATAGCAGCAGCCAATGACTCTAACCGCATGTCGATTCTAAATGTGGAGGGACAAACTCGAGAAAAATCCCCGCGACCACGGGGAGAACACGCAAACTTCAAATATACAGGCGTCAATGTCGGGATCGAATCCACGACCTCCTGGATATCAGACGAGGTAGTTAACATCTCGCCACCGTGGCACCCGCTGAAGATCGGAATCTTGCTCGGATTCGAGCCGTTCCAGGGGCGGAGGGGGTTATTAATCGTCGATTCAAATACCAAATAATGTATTAACGTGCGATGTTAGCGGCACGGTTCGGGTGCTGCAGTGGAAAAACCACCAGGCGATTTCCGAGACTCGCTAGGCCAGCTCGGTTGTACAGAATTCCACGCAGAACTCCTTGAGAAAGTTGTCAAATCGATGCCATGCCCAGGTTAATAAAAGACCTTGCATTCATCTTACTCTCTTAGTGGAGGGCTCGGGATAGTGCACTTATCATCCGATAACACTACACGAGGGCAACAGTTTAAACTAAAAGGTAAGTGCTTGTCCGCGCATACTTTTAACGTTCGTCTCTCCAAACTCGGATCTTCCTCGCCACTCTGTATTTACACATTTCGCGTATGCTTGCGTACACACGAACCGCAGTTGCAAAATCGCACTAAGAAATTTGACACGTCGTCCAGAGCTATCGAGAGCCAATCAACGTTTTTACTCGGTTTCGCATCGTCAGGGTTTACGATTCTGAGGGGGCTCAACTGGCCAAAACGTTGACCGTGATCGATCGATATTTTACCCTGCGACTGACACAAACAAATCCTTTCTGAATGATCTTGTGGGTTCGCTGTAGCAGTAACGTTTTAGGATTGAGCACGCGCACGCGCGTGACTATGCGCGAGCGTGCAAATTCACAGCGGAAACCGGCAGCCACACGCGCAAAGCTAAGGACCGCCGATTCCCACGCTCAGAGGCAGTGGTGAGGCCGCTCGCTACCCTCGCACCTGCGTGCGTGCGCGTGCGTGTCGGGGGTGGGAACCGGGCACCACTTGTTTGGTCACGGCAAGCTCACCGCCGCGGCCAAGCAGAACACAGCTCCATGTTTGAGTTCCCCTTTTTGAGAGCCGTCAAATAAATTCTGCGAATGCGTCATTCATATTTTCTGCCTCGAAATACTGAAGGCCCCGTGACGAGATCTCTCTGCAAGTGCCAATCGACAAGGTTTTAAGCACGGCCGCCAAATGTGAAAAACCAACCCTCCTCTACGCAAATGTGGTTACCCGGGTCTCCAATGCACACAAGATTAACGGTTCTGAATGGGCTCTCATGCGGTTAATGACACGTACCGACCGCCAGCCCGCAGCAGAGATGCCAAAAAAAACACAACGCAATCCCACCCCCCCTCCCCCCAGTTGCGCAGTGACGATCGGAAACCACACTCTTCGAGATTTTCCTCCGCGACTCTCGCTCCCCCATCAATCCCCAATTGGTACAAACGCGGCGCTCCGAGTACTCCGTCCCTGGAGCTCACGCAACACCCCACCTCCGTGCGGGCATCGCGTCAACTCCACCGCAATCTTCAACTCGACTCCTGGAGAGATGCCCGTCGCACGGCGCGTGCCGAACGCTCGAGAGGAGGCGGGGGGGGGGGAAAGAGGCTCAACACGCGGACATAGCCCTCAACATCGCGCGTGGATTACGAATGGCCGCGTGGGAAAAAAATAAACGTACGTTGATACACAGCGCGAGGGATGGGGCTTGTGTCGTTTCCTTCCTCCTTCATTCCTTTTCCTTCCTCCCAGGTGGGCAACCAAGAGACAGACCGGGGGGAACAGTTGCCGACGAAGAGAAGTGCGTTAAAACTTTACAACCCCTGACGAACGCGCACGCACGCGTGCGCGCGTACATGACAGCGGCTGGTAGTGCACAGCAACCTCCCAAAAAGTCAGGGCCTCCACCCACCGCCGACCGCCACCGCCGACCGGACGAGGCGAGGAGGCTGCTTGGGTTCCCCGTTGCCGACGAGGTGGAGGAAGGGGGAGGCGCGGCAAATGCCCGAGGATTCGGAAAAGCACCGCTGAAGCAGAGGCATTGTTTCTGCGGGGTTGTGGCAGACGGAGAGGAGAGGACGGACGGACCGACGGGACGGACGGGACTGATGATCGTGCCGAGGACAGGGAAGGTTAAAGGGAGGAAAAAATAAATGTATCGCTCATCGGGCATCAATTGAAAGGAGAAATCGTGGAAATAATACAATTTTAAGATAAAAAAAATTAATCATTCAGGTATTAACAAGATGGATGAAGTAATTTTTTTTTTCCTGCTACAATTGACTGTACATATATATAGTTATATATATAATGTTATTGTCCTAATGAGATAAACAAAATAAAATAAAACTTTTGCGGTGTGACGTAAGTTTTTTTTTTTGCTCTTCATCGTTCGGGTCCAGCAAAAGGAGTCCACCGCCTTGCAATTCGCGGTCGACACAGCCCCAGCGCCGCCATGTTCCCAGCATGCCGAGCAGCAGGACTTCCTGTCGCCAGCGAGACGGTGCGCGGGTGTTGGAGGGGGCCGCGGGGGGAGGGGGGGGGGCCGAGCTGGAGGGGTGCTGTTTGGGGGGCAAGGTCGGAGGGCGATGGATGGGGGAGCGCGCGTCACCAAAGACGGTGCTGGTGCAGGTTTCGACTGAGGACTGACCTCACGTCCGCTGTGAACCTGCAACACACGACGCACACAGACACACGTGGACCACATCACGATGACAAAGGATCCCCCCCCTTCAACTGACTGTTGAGACAACCACTTCGAGAGATACCCTAACATTCATGCAATGAACACAGTATGACCAGACAGCAATGAGCAAAAGAGATATTAGCATGATTTTTGTGTTCCTTAAATTACTATCTACAAGTGCTATTAACGAGCACATATTCAGGCCGCCACGGCACATGAGGCCAGCAGAATCCCCGGGCCACCTCCGTCTTCCCCAGTGGTGGGTGTTTACATCCAGCAAACAGGTACTGATTTAAGGCTGAGTAGACCTAGGGGAGGCCCAGGATGAATTCAAATATTTTTCGCCACGGCCACGGTTACTGACACGAGCGGGAATTGAACTCGGGTTGCTGGGTTAGTAGCGCATTGCGCTAAACCACTGCACTTCCGTTACCATTGGGTTAGACAGGCACAAACACGCACAAAAACAAAGACCCCCCCCCCCCGTTTTAGCCTCAACAGACTATTGGGACAAGTGCTGTTAGCAAGTGACTATGAAGGCCGGCATGGCACATGCAGGGTGGTGGGTGGCCAGCACCACACCCGGCCGCCTTTGTCTCCCAAGTGACGATGTTTGCACACCATACCAAATACTTATTTGAGGCCAAGTCGACCTAGGGGAGGCACAGGACGGGTTCAAACATTCACCACCGATGTTGGCCGTGAGCAGGGGTCGCCGGGTTCGTAGCGCAGCCAGCTAGCCGCTTACACGACCACTTCCCACAACGCTCAACCAATCACAGACACACGCCCCAAGTACACGCACGCACGCACACACACGCGTGCCCTGGCCCACGCCGTGACGCGCGGAGAGAGAACGGCACCTGAGTGCGTCGAGCATCGGCAGGAGGTTGAGGAGCGCCGTGTCACTGGGGTCGCTGAACCACGACTTTATGGGGATCGCATTGTCTGTCGCAAGAACACACACGTGCACGCAGAGGCAGGCACACACATGCACACAGGTATACACCGTGGGTAAGAACGCAGTCACAAATGTAAACACACACGTAAAATAGTAACGAATGCAAGTAGGCAAACTGGCGCACACACACACACAGCACAGTAACACGCACGAACAGCCCTGCGCACACACACACTATGCTTGTGAAGGCATAAGCACAAGCACGGCCCTTTTGTCGACCCACTGCTGGATGAGGGCCTCCCCCCACACGCCCTGCGGGTCGTGGGAAGTTGAAGGTGTGGAGAGTAGATGTTGGGAGCATATTACAGCACAACGATTGATGTTTCTCCACTGCCCTCTGCTGACAAGACAGCCCCCCTGAGCAGCACCTGTTATGCATAGCGGGTTGCGGTGGCCCGTCCAAGCACTCGACCCTGTTTAGCTTTCGAGATGTGGCGAGCTCGTGCGCCTTCCAGGTGATTTTTCACCGCATCGCGCGCTTTCAGGTGCGCTTCTGCGGCCGTCTGGAATGCTCTTCCACCCAATATTCGGTAGCCACTGGAGCTATTCACTTATATCACCGACATTGAAATCTCATTTCTTTAGAACTGCTTATTATGGGTTTAGTTTGTTATCCTTCGCCCGCTCCTCCGATTAGCGCGGTTGGCTGCATACGGTGCGAAAGACGTGCAACATACACACGTACATAGTGTTGGTGTGCGCCGTGCGTGCTGTGTACATCTGGCGCTGTGCGCCACGCTTGCGTGTCTGCTGCGCATGCGTGCATGCGTAGGTAAACGTGGGGGGTTGGTGAAGGGGTGGGGGGCAGGACAAATTCAGTTATCACTTGCCACTGACATTAGCCATGGCCGGGAATCGAACTCGGGGTCATTGGGCTCATAGCGCACCGCACCACCACTCGACAATCCGTTGCAGGCTACACGGGGTGGTGGGGTGATCGTCGTCGTTGTGTGCCATGCACGCGGATGTCGCGTGCGCTTCGTTACCTGGGTGGCCCCGGTAAGCGCTGGGTGAGTTGTCCAGAATGACTATGCTAGCCAGGTCTCCATGCACCGCCATCAGGTTCTTCGTGTAGCTGCCCAGCTCCACAGTACAGTGCTGCGAAGGACGACACACGAGCCAAGAGGTTAGGGTCACCATCTCGCTTCGCAAGGCATTCGAACAGAAAATCAGCAGCGGCAGTGGCGGGCTGCAATTGTCCGTTTAATGTTGCGAGCCATTTCAAGGTCATCCCTGGTGGTGGACGAGCGCAGGCCGCTTGCTCCACCAGAATGTGCGCGTTGTATCGGCCCTCACCTGTCTGTAGTATCTCCTCTGCAGGATGCTGCGGTTGTTGTCGAGCTTTTCGGCCACTGCGGAGCCGTAGATCTCCATGCTGGCCGTGAACACGACCAGCTCGTACCACTGGCTCACCTGTTGGGGTGGGACGGGGGGGGGGGTAAGGCGGCGGGTCGAGACATTTGCCAGTTTCATTCTGTGACTAACGGGACCATGCACTGTGGCAGGCCTACATAGCCTTAACAGACTGTAGGGGCAAGTGCTGTTAGCGAGTAGCACCTATGAAGGCCGGCACGACACACGGGGGGGGGGGTTTGGGTGGCCAGCAGCACGTCCGACCACCTTCTCCCAAGCGGCGACGTTTGCCCACCGCACCAGATACTCATTTGAGGCCGAGTCGACCTAGGGGAGGGCCCAAGACCCGGTCTTATATTGGCCGTGAGTGGGAATTTAATTCGTGTCGCGGGGTCCGTCGCGCTGCCCTACTGCTCACCGCCTACATGGACACGGGGAGTCTATACACATACAGTATATACAGTATATAATTAGAGGAAGTAGCCGTTACTGACCGACGCCACCCCTCCCAATCGCCAACATCCCAAACTCCCCACTCCTGGGTGTGTCCCCCCCCCACCCTGTACGTGAAAACCCCCCGGGGCCCCCCCCCCACGCAGCTCCCCCCCAGCTGCCACCCTCCCATGTGTCCCCACCCACAGCCCCCTCCCCCCGTGCGCACGTCACGCATACACAGCGAGGCCACAGGAGGCCAAGCAACCTGGCAAACGTCCAAACTCTGTTTCGTTTACAAACGTCCCTCTTGCCCGGCACTAATTAAACATAAATAAAAATCGCTAACAACTCGAAATGCTAAATTAGCGAACACGAACAACGAGCATGCCGCCGTCACCGCGGCCCCCTTGTTTAGCCGCCGCCGCCGAAGGGCGCCGGTGACCCAACCGCGGACGGGGTCACGCCACTACGACGCCGACGCAATCGTTTCCAGATGCCGCTTGCGGCACGCCGGCAAACGGCGCCCGGGCCCACTGTGCCGGTCTCGTGCCATTTGCAAGCTCGCTCCATTGCGGCGCGACACCAAACCGCAAACTCGTGGTCATTAAACGATTTTCATTTTACCAGGTAAGGCCCACTGAGCTATTTGCTTATTTTTCAGAAGTGGCCCGGTCACATTTGATAGTTCAACCAAGTGGTTTATCACGTGGAAATTTATAGAAGCTAAATACTCCACGCAACCACGAGGACATGCAAACTCAAAATATACAGGCGCCAGGGTTGGGATTGTACTCGCGACTCCCTGCATACCAGGCGATCGTGGCACCCCACGCCACCGAGGGACACCGTCACGTGGTCCACCCCCCGCCCCCCCGGCACTGCGTCGTGGTAAAGCCTTGGACCACAACCGCGGTAAATCCGAGACCGGACCGAGGCTCAGACCGCGTGAGCGAATTCAGTCACGTGAAAATATTAACTGCTCTTCTATTCCGAGTCTCAAATCAATTTTGTTTTAACTGGGTGATAACTCAAAGAGACCACGATGAGTTACATATGCAAGAGTGTTCGAGACTATGATAGTCTGGCAGTAGCAGGTGATGATCGCTGCTGTGTGTATAAACCCAATTGAACAACAGGCGCCAAAAATTGGACCCTAATGCCGGCAAACACAATGGCCTACGCTTGCGAATCACATCAGGGAATCTTTACCGTCCGTTGTGAAGCAGACGTATTAACATGGTTATTAGGCCATTATGAGATCAACTCTCCCGTTAATGAGTGAGCGCGCAATGAGTTCTGAATCTGATAATTGAATGTCGTGTTCTGGACGTAACCGCCTGTCCAGAGACCCATATTCCACAAAATGAGTTGTGAATACTGCAGATTGAGTTCTGGATACGACTTACCGAGTTCTGATTCGTGAACGCCGAAGTGAAGTGTGCTATCTAAAAAATCAGCAGGCGTGCGGGTGCTCGGTGCGTGTTACAATCGCAGGCTCGTGAGAGATTGCGATGTTTTGGGGAGGCCTTCATCCAGCAGGAGATTGATTATGGCCCGGCCAATTATGGTAACATCGATAATGATGACGACGATTACATTTATCTCATCCGACTACTACCAGAAATGTTCACGTTCTCACAAATGAGACTGAGAGACACCAAACCGTCCCCGAACCCCAACATAACCTCGACCGAACACCGGACCCTCAGCGAGTGGCAGCTGGAACTAAGCTTGCACGCGAGCGACCGTGAACCCGGTGGGCGGGCGGGCGGGCGGGCAGGCGGCACGGCGGGCCCGTGTCGCGCTACCGTCGGGAGCCGTGCGACGCGTGAACTCACCACTTCGAGGAAGAAGTCGACGTGAGGCCTCTTGTGCACGAAGAACCGCACTGGGTGCCTGTCGATGATCACCTGCGGAGCGCACACACCCACAAACCGCTGTCGCTTGCTTCCCGAGACAAACCCCTCCTGTACTTGCAGCTAATTACACACACCTAGGGCTGACATTGCCAATGCATCAGATCTGTCTGTAATGCGGATGGCACGATTACTCTCGTGAAGATCGTCCGATGTAAATTACATTTTTGTCTAAAGTCGTCTGGCTATTTACTCGGGACTAACTCCAGAGGCAACCGCCAAATTGATCACAGGGTTGGCCAAAACTTGGGAGACACAAATCAAAGTAAAATTGACAACAGGGTGTTTCAGTGGCTGCTAGTTTTAAAGGGGGCACCCGACCACAAATAAAACAGTCGATAGTAATTTTTTGTCCTTTGATCGACTGCATCGACTGATCGTGGGGTTTTTTTCCCTCAGTTACAATAAAGTCGCTAACGGAGTTGGCCCTATATACCCCAACATAGGGCAGGCAGAGCTTGGGAAATGATTGTCAACAGTGGGGGCTGCCATTCCCACTCGTCGAATTTTCCCATGCTCCTCTCTTTCTCTCTCTCTCTCTCAATCTTCTCAATGACATTGACTATTAATTTGATTTAAAAAAGTCCCGGCTGCGGCGCTCACCTTGAGAATGAAATCCGGCGGCGTGCCCGGCCGCACCATGGTGCGCGACATGCCGTCGTGGTGCGAGTGGATGAGCGTCTCGTCGAGATCCAGCACCAGGATCTTCCGCCGCACCTGGCCTGCACCGCCGGCACGGACGCAAGCGGCGTCACTCCTCGCAAGGGGCTCTCAACGCCGATGAGCGGTCAAAGACAAACTACTTTCTTGAGGTAAAGTCACGTAGAAGGGAAGTAATAAAATAATAAAACATAATAAAATAATTCTCACGACGTTTCGGCCACAACGCAAGCAGCCGTCTTCAGGTGAAACGTCGTGAGAATTATTTTATTATGTTTTATTTTTATTATTTTATTACTTCCCTTCTACGTGACTTTACCGAAAGAACCAAGAAGATGAATCCCTGCTATCACGAAAGCTTTAAATCGAAATTTACTTTCTTGAGCTGTACGATACACTACGTGGAATGATACAGTAATGCGGCGCTGCACCCTCAGTTGGCGAAATGTTAACTACCTAGCCTGGTGTACAGGAGGTCGTGGGTTCGATACCAAACCCGATGCCTGTATATTGGAAATTGCATGTTCTCCCTGTGGTCGAGTGGATTTTTCACCAGGTCCACCGGTTTTTCCATCCACATTTAGAATCAACGTGCGTTTAGAGTATTTGGCAGCATTACATTTTTTACATGATAAGACACTTGGGGGCAGGTCGCTTCTGAAAAAGAGCTGTATAGCTCAGTGGGCCTTACCTGGTAATATAAAAACAGTTTAGTGTAGTTTTATGTGTCCCGGCATCTTACTGTGCGTGTGCGTAGTACATCGTATCTCGGCAAACTTTATCGTTACATTTATGGGGAAATTGTTTTCGCTGAACGCGTTTTTCTCTTAAAGGCTGCACTTTTCAGCAACGCATCTACCGCGTTAAACGAGGACCACCTGTACATTTCATTGACGTACTTTGCCCATCTCTTGCCACAGGGGTTTGGCCATCAGATCCGTGCACCATCAGAGGAGCCACCAGGTGGCGACAGTGACTCACACACGGATCGCTGAGCTTGCAGGCCCGCTGCAGCCTGCCACCTACCATAGCTTGCGGCAAGACTACCATCGCTTGCCTCACACCCATAAAGCAACAATCTCCCGTTCGCAATTTTCAACAAGTGTCAAGTTTCAAGATTATTTTGGTTAGCCAGGTGAGAACTGAAGAGACCAGGATAAGTCTCATTCGCAACGAGTGACCTGGGTCACCATAATGACAGGCACGACTGGATACAATTGGTGTAGATTGCAGATCCAGCCGGTGTGCCTTGCTGATGAGACCCAGTTGGCTGAAACCGGTCCCAAGAGTTCGCTTGCTTTTAAACAAATGCTGCTGGAACCAATAGACCGATGACTAAAACAAATATTGTGTTTGTGTGTGGAGGCACAATACCGGAACGGAGGAGGAGAGGTTATTGACGTTACTGCTAAACGTTATGCATGTTGGAAAACACGTGATCGCACGTGCAGAGTGATGCTGGACTTTGATCTTCCGACGTACACACACACCCGCTAATTCTGAGCGGTGGGATTCCGTCGTCATTATTTAATGAATCATCATCACCAGCTGTGGTTTAGGAGAGTTCCTCCTTTGGCTACCAATCCTTCATCAGTCTCGTCCATTCACCATTACGCTATTCTTGTTAGCAATGAGATCCTGCCCAAGCCCACTCAATTTTCTTGACAAATCCTTTGGTGATGCTGCATTGGAGGTTGTGCACAAGCACAATTAACAAATTGAAACATTGTATTTATTGACCTTTGTGAAGTATTCGTCGATAATGCTGTGTGGCCTGAAAAGTATTTTTTCATTGCCAACGTTTCGGGCAATAGCCCTTCTTCATAGCACATGAAAGAAGGTCGATTTGCTGAAATGTCGCCTGTTATATATTTCTCCTTTCAAGGCCACAGCATTATTGACAAATGTGCGTTTTAGACTTCTCAGCACTCCCCCGATGCGCCTGTTCCTATTCCGGTTCCCGAGTGTAATTCCCACAATGCATCTCACCATGCTTCTTTGCACACTCACAGCTGCCATTCTCTAGTGCTTTGTTCAGTGGCCCTGTGTCTTGCCCGTACAACAAAGCGGGTGATATGCATCGACTGCAAACGTTATTTTTTTAAGCACGCCGGAATGCTGCTATTTCACAATCAACTTTTCGTTCGCCTTCCATTCAAAGGATGTACAGGAATACGGAAAGCCACGAAACTACATCTCTTTGTTTTGCAAGTACATAGTTCAACTGCGTACAAAAGTGGCTTTTGAAAGAAAAAAAAAATCACTCCGGACCACGGACCCCGGTGAGAAGCCCCCCACCCCCCCTTTCCCGTGCGGATCCCCTCTACTCACTGAGCCGCACGCGAGACGTGGGTGAGAGGGGCAGCAGATCGTACCGCACCGTCTGATACTGGATAATCTGCACGCCAGACGCACACACAAACGCATTGCGGTTTGTCAAAAAAAAAAATCACAGCCGGCGACGACGCACGGAAATCCGACACCCGATGCTGCCCACGTTACAAAGCGGCCCCGGCAACGAAACAGTCGAGATTGGACAGACACATGAAGGCATTGCCACTGGCCGAGCTGTAAGGGGGGGGGCGGGTTATGGGTGGGGGGGAAGTCAAGACGGGGCGAAAGTTTCCATCCCGCAGGGACGGCAGCAGCCGCAGGCGGTGCTCGTCGGGGGGGAGGGGAGGGGGTCCAGCTTGGAGAGACTGCATCCTAGAAATGCAACACAGTGTGGATTTAGGGGGCATGTAAGACGCAACTGCACCCCCAAGATGCTGGGTCAAGCGTCGGAACATGTGCTCCACGTGAAGAGGGCGGTCATGCATACTCCCACCACACAGACTTACACACACATAAAGCAGAGCCTTGTGCGATTCCACGTTTGCGCCAATTGCGGCTAAAATGCTACCACCCCCCACCCCTCGCCGGCTCCACTGCCACACGCTCACTCGCTGACGGTGACGGCAAAACCGGAGTCACAGCAGAGGCGTCACTTGCGTCAGCGCCGTGTCAGGTGTCGGATCCGGCCGTTCGCCCATCTGGCACACAGCACTACCGCCGCCACCACCAGCAACATCAGCACCACCAGTACCACCACCACCACTTACAACAACAGTCGCCATCCACTCAGCGATGAATACAAGGGTGACATTCATCACGTGGCGGCGACGTTCGTGGCGTCACCCACATGTGCTTGTACCAGGCTAGGTGCACTTAGAGGCTATGCAAAGCGTGGAAGGCTGACTGGTCGGTCGCAAGACAGACCAACTGGCAGATACATCGCTTGTACGTCCCACTGTGCCAACTTCCTGCATTTTAGTCGACCAGTGCTCTGCTCGTTGGTATGAGTGTTGCTCCTCCGTCCTCCGTTGTTGTTGGAGGGTAACTGAATTGATGCAACGGGCTGATTACCCCATCGCCATAAATTGAATTTCCAGAAAGATAAGCATCACCACCATCATCACCACTACACTTACCGCCACCTCCCCCATCATCATCATCATTATGACGACCACCACCACCGCCGCCACCACCACGAGCAGTAGCAGACACATCAAAAGCAGCCATCATCCATCACCACGGGCTCCACGCGGCTGCCGGACCGCGGCAGCTTGGTCCACGACGATACGAGCACGTGCAGCGAGTTGGAGCGAGCCCAGTTGCTGGCAGGGCATTCCCAAAATAAATGCCCGCTAACTCCCCGCACCACCCCTCCCCCCTCTACAACCCCCGCCGCCCCCCTTAACCGCACCAACCCCTAACCTGGTGGCTTGTGGAGAGGGACACGGAGCTGGCGGCGTCAGCTGTGGCAGGAATTCCCGCCACCTGTTGCCGCTGTGTTTTTTTACGTACGTGGAAAAGGGACGGCCGAAAGCACTGCGGTGGCCGAGAGATTCGTCATCACCCAACGGTGACCGGCGCTTCGACGCCGTACGTTAGACGGTGCGACGATTTCCTACTGCTATTGAAATCACTTGAAACTGCGGTGAGAATTCCACTCGGTTTGTTCTTCTGTGCGCGTGCACAGCGGATTATAACAGAGTCATGCGACTTACGCACCGAACGGTCATTAATTGCACGGCATTCTGCTTAATTCCACCCTTTGGTAAAACAAAAAAAGCAAGAGGACATTTCCACCACGTTGAAGTTTTAAACCTCAAGATGATTATGGTTGGGGGGGGGGTAACAACCGCGAATTTCGTCGTTTAAGAGCTAACGGCTGTAATGTAGCCTGCTCCATTGGTCAGCGTTACTTTTAGTAAGCATTTTTATTTTAGTCGTAAGTCTAGCTGACGACAACAACATCATGTGAGATTACGTCTCTGGATTAATCAAACGTCAGTCTGTGGATTTCATTTGGGCGTTCTCTTAGTCTCGTCGGACGAGACAAGTCAAACAATTAGTTCACAAACGGTGGTGCGAGGGCCGTAAAATAAAAATGTCCACCCTAATATTTCCAGGGCAGTCAAGCAATAAACTCGGTCTGTATTTTTAAATATGTACCAAGCCAATTAACACTTTTGGTCTTCCTCGGCGCCTCAGTCTCCAGTGACGTTACTAAAACTATTTTGGGCTGCGGCTCGCACAGATTACTTCATTTTTGCTGGGTCTTAGTCACATTTCAATCTCTGGTGGGTTAGTCTTGATTTTTTCGAATCCGCTCGTAATCATCGTCGACTAAAATTAAACTCACGCGCACTCCGTTGACGAATGTTTGCATCACTAATTTCGTTGGTAAAATCAATGTTGCCACTGGCTGGATTGAGGCCATCCAGCTGGGAAGAGGATCCCAGCCAACGAAGATGACAGAACATCCCCTACTTGCTCCATTGACTCTCTCCTGGACATATTGCACCCACCCCCCTCTGCCACCACCGCCGTCCTCCTGCGAGCAAACCCAATAACCCCAACCGAATGGGACGTCCACCAGCTGCGACAGAATTTGGAAATTTGTTATTTTACAATCACATGCGGGATTTGTGGGATGAAGTAGTGGCTGCTGTGTTTAGCGCGCTGCACTATGAACCCGCAGGCCTGAATTCAATCCCCGGCCATGGTGAACATCAGTAGCGAGTGACATTTTAACTGGTCCTGGGCACCCCCCCTCAATCACAAACCAGCGCTGACCAGCGTGGTGAAGTACGTACGGTACAACAACCCCCAAGACTGGCATGGCATGGTGCGGCCTTCATCCATGGGTGAAATTACAATTGGCCCCAACTTATTACTCAGTATTAATTAGTGTGTAAATACAGCTGCATCTCAATACGCTGTACAGGATGCAGGACGATCGCATCGCAGGGACACCAGTGAAAACAGGACAAATATACCGAATATACTTTGATATTTAAAATACTTCACAGAGAGCAGTCGATGAGATAGAGGTCTTGGGCACGGCTTTGAACAGTGGCAGGGAGTCGGCATCACAGATGGCTGTGGGGAAGGAATTACAGACTACCGAGGCAGAATCAGAGACGTAGCAAGCAGCCATTAAAGCGGAGGTTGAGCAGTTTTCAAGGAAGGCTAGAGTCACTAAAGTGGCGATGGGATATCGAGGCTGTGTGAAATAGAGAGAGACTTTAAAACCAGTCAGGAACAATATAAAAAAAACACGAAGGGGGAAAAGAGCGAGATTACGTGGGTAGAGGTATGTGAGCGTGAATCGATAAAGGCTCTTAAAGTTGGTGAGGGGCAATCTTTGCAATCTACATCACGAGTACATTTGGTATGCGTTCCATTGTCATAGAGCAGGGGTTGTCAACCTGCGGCTCAGGAGCCACACGTGGCTCTGTGCGGCTGCTTCGTGAAGTAATGTAAACGTGTATGTACGTATTCACACGCATTGCGGCTCTTGAAATATTGAGTATGCACCGACTTCGAAAAAAGTGGCTCTTCGTTATTTTTGCTGCCGACCCCTGTTAAGAGAGCAAGGCGATCACAGTACAGACTGCCCATGTTTCATGGGCAGTCTGTGCTGTGGTTTCTCAGTAGGGGGTGATGTTACCATGTGTAATCCCAATGGAGTATTTTTGCAGGTACATTTTTTAATTTGGCAAATTTGGACCACGACACCGGCACACAACGGGCCTACTCTTGTCGAATCATGCCACGTAATCTTTAACCTCACATGTGAAGCAGACGGCGTGTATTTATATGGTTAATACACAGCACAGAATTAACTGGGGCTGCCTACCGGATTTGAACAGTTAACCTCTGCAACAACAAACGGCGAATGTGCCGCCCCCTGTACTTGATTCGGGATTGGATTGGGAGCCAGGGGAAGGAGCGGAGGAACGGGGTGATGTGGTCTTGTTTACAGGCGGCTGTTATTTCATGAGCGTTTATTTTCCAGGAATAACGTCTCCACTCACGTCACATTCTTCATTCATTTGTTTTTCAATAATTGCTTTAAGTGATTTATAAATCAATGCATCTTATCTCCTTCTAAAGCAGGTCAGGTTTATAACAAATACATGTTGTAAACACAAAATGACCATAATTTACAGCCACATAACAGCGATGAAAGAGACCCACCGAGAGACGTGAAACGACATTGCTCTCTTTTGTTTGCAAAGACATGAGTTTACAGAATATTTTGAACCAATTTTAGAGTGCCCATTCTGATTATTCCTCCTTAAGTTAACTAACTCGGGAGCAAACTCGGGGGAAATACAAACTCAAGTTGTCATCTGTACACAACTGGTCCCAGCAGTCTCACTTCAAGGGAGAGCCAAGTTTGTTGCGGTTGTGACTGCAACAAATTTGGGTGGGGAGAGGCCTTCGTGCAGCATTGGAGTGATCATGGCTGATGATGCATCAAGGCTTGTTTTGTGAAATTGCATAAAATATTATTGGACCAAATAATAATAATGATGACTGTTATTTGAATGACTTATTTTCAATGACATCAGCACTGGCCCTGAGTTCCCAAAGTTGTTTTTTGCCCAAGACGCTCATAGGCCCCAATGCAGGTTTCGCCCACTCCGCCAATACAGTTTTAGAACTCTTTTACGAGTTCAACGGCCGACCGTAAAAGGATTAAAGCGACGATCATGAATATAATGACCAAGACGATGATGAGTGGGGTCCAACGCTAGGCCTTACCGAGCAACAGGAAGCACAATATTTCACCCAGAGCTCTCGAATATGTTTTCGGGTTTGACCGCGTATTGATTCCCACGATGTCCATACACTTTGCTTCACACGTGCTGGGATAAATCTGTATGGCACCTAGGTGGCGACATGTTAACTACCTCGCCTGGTATACAGGAGTTTTGTCGGTTCAATCCCGACTCTGACGCCTGTATATTTGGAGTTTGCATGCCTTTCCCCGTGGTGGCGTGGATTTTTCTCAGGGTCCTCCGGTTTTGCCCTCCACATTTAGAATCAAGATACAGAGAATGTGGCTGCTATAACTGTCCACGTGATAAGCCACTTCGTTTGGCTCTCATTTGTGGCCAAGTTGCTTCTAAAAAAGCTACATAGCTCAGTGGGCCTTACCTGGTAAAATAAAAATTGAGTTGAATAGTTTTAGAACCTGAATATTCCAGTTCAGTTTAATAATTTGGTTTCTGACGAAGCTCACAGCTTATGGAGCAAAACGTAAAACTTCAAACCCCCACGCACCAAATTTGATCGCAGCTTGCTCGCTCCGCGTCAACTACCGAGTCCAATGGTCACTCGTCCGCTACGTCAAGGTATGGGGGGGGCGCCACAGGGGGTGGCAGTAGCAAAGTCAAACACGCACACACCCTGAGTAATCGTCAATAAATGCCCGACTGACCGCTTGGATCAACCGTTTTTGCAGCAACTGGGGGATTTTCTCGCGTGTGTTTTTGTTGGGCTGTGACGCAACTTATTTGGCATGCGAGCGCATTTTCAGGAACTTTCAATACTGAACTTTCAGTTCAGTTCTAGAAGAACCCCTCTCCCCACGGCAAATGGAAAAAACGTCAGAGAAAACCTGAACGACACTCGGTACAACTTGGCACTTGCGCACAATCCAGAGCAACTTCACACGTGACATCTACATCTCACCTCAACTACCAGTCATTCTTCTAGCGACACATTCTGTTCAAGCCCACTTACTTTTACTCACAGTTTGAATTGGGTCTGCATGTGCTCTCAAAACCATGAAGTTCTCTGTTTCTTGATATAATTGCAAAAATGCACATTACCATGCATAACGGTGCCATTTTCAGTTTACGTGCCGATTACTTTGATAATGACCATGGTTATAAACCATATGTCACAGCAGGTAGAATGCACCAATTCAAAACATGATTTCTTCTTTAGGCCAATCTGTGCGTAAACTTCAATCTCTTTACAAACACACTGTCGTCAACAGACATACAATGCAGGTTCATATGCCTCGGGTTAAAGTTAATGGCTAAACCCTGCCAGGGGTTAGGGGACGAGTTTCAAATCAGCTTTAGATTTTCCACTTTTCCTTCTTAATAAAAAAAAGGGAACGGAGCTTGGCTAGAGAACAAAAAAAGGTGGTTGAAAATTAACAAAGAAAAACTATGGTTGGGCATTAGGTAAATATACCACGAAGAACCCCTGCGTAACCTACGCAGGACTGTTGGGGCAAGCGCTGTTAGCGGGCATCTATGAAGGCCGGCACGGCGCACGAGGGGGTGGTGTGGTCAGGACCCATGCCTTTGTGTCCCCAGTACCGATGATTACACACCACAGCATGTACTACTCATTTAAGGCCAAGTCGATGAAGGGGAGGACCAGAACCGCTTTGGATAATTGCCACTTATTATCTGTACAATAACGACTATGCCACTGCTCCCCACTTGCAAAAAAACACGTATAGACACCCATATATACATATATGTATATAATCATTGAATGGGCGCACCAGCAGATTCACATTTGCAACATCATAGCACGAGTTCACTTAGTTCCATTGTTCAACGCGGGGTTGTATAAGGAAACGAAGCCATGCGAGAGCAATGTGTAAATGTCACCAGTGGGTCAGGAAGTGATGTGCCCAGGAGTACCACTCAATGACTGTGCCCATGGAGAAGCTTTGATAAAGAATCACACTGCACAACCACTACAGTCACACGAGTACGTTCCCTAATATCGTGTGTTCCTTATTCCGTTCCACAATATAATTCCAAACGTGCATCTTGTATGTATGTTGAACTTCTTTCGCACCGTACGTAGCCAACTGTGAGGTTGCACACTTTTTAAGTCGCAATGCCATTGTCTACGTTAATGACTGACAGTTTCTGAACCACGTTATAGAGGTACATTCACCGTCCACTTATAAGACCCACACACCAGATTATTGAATGGTTGCTTGTTTGAACTAATACAGAGGAGGTGAATTTAAAATAACCTTGATTTTTTATCGTACACCGTCTCCGAAGATGATCTTTGATGAAACCGAATCTCTGCTGGTACTAACTGTCCCACATTTTCATCCAACCACTGACCTTCCTTGGGTTTGAATTAATGAAATGTTAAGGGACATGTATTTAGTTTTCATGTAGGGTTAAGGGGTTAGGTTTTAGGGGTTCGGGATATGGTTAGGGTTGACGAATCAGAGTGAGTAATGGTTACATTCCTGTCAACCGCTTATCAGTGCCCACCTTATTAAACCAATTCAGGCCTTATTGGTCACCCTGTGCCCTTGTAAATCTCAACGTTCATCCTACAAAGTCCCATGACAAGGTAGAAACACAAATAAATATACATTTATTTTATGTTATGCCCGTATTGAAACGGCCGTACGCCGTATGGACCTGAAAACTCAATTTCCCTGTAGAAGAAAACGGGGTAAACCGTATGGGTTGATAGGTATATGGTTAGGGGAGTAGTTGATACTTTAAAAATATGTATTTTACTTAAATAATAGGAAGATATTGACATTTTGGTTGACTGGTTTTCTTCATAGCATTCAAATTAAGATGCACACATAACTCATTCATGATTCTACACAAACTCAGCTACAGATCACAACTATATACGCATACTTTGGGACGTACCATCATCACTACACGCACACGAAATCACGTGTACATACAAAGGTACAAACATGTACTGTACTCCAAGTTGTACATAAGCACATATACACACACTATATACAGATGTACTTGCTCACAAGTACACACACTGGTGTACACTCACACGGCCGTCACGCCACATGAGCGACGGTGACGTCACCGCAGCGCGTCGTGCCAGGCTGGGTGCACTTCGAGGCCACGGGAAGTGTCCGATTGAGATGAGTGTGAGATGCACAGTGCTCAGGTGCTCGCATCCCCTAAGGCACACGCACACTCCCAACACGTACACAGATGCGCGTTACCCTTTTGTCGACTATTGTCTACAAATGCCAAGTCCCAACACACCACCACCACCACCAATCCGCCATCGTCAATCCACTGCTGGATGAAGGCATCCCCAAGGAACCTCCATCTCTCACTTGACTGCGGTGGTGTAGTAATCCACCCAACTCCTGCACACGAGAAAACGCCGTCGCTCTCACACACAACACACACACACAACTAGGACACTTCAGGAACCACAACGGAGTTACGTGGCATTCGTCGCCCTGGACGGACGCTCTTTTTGCCGGCCGCTTTCACGCGCAAACACAAACCTGAATAAGCACAGACACAGTCATCACACTGTGCGCCTACAACGTGCACAAAATAACAATCGTTAACAGCGCAAACGAGCCGGGCGGCGGCCTCGACAAGAAAGTTTTCAATCTGTGCATGTTAACCCACTGACATAGTAGATCAGAAACGTGGTGGTGGTGGGGGGTGGGATTAGCAGGTAAAATGACACGAAAGACGTACGTGGCGAAAATGGGCACACAGAGACCGCACGCACGCAACGGTGGAAATTCCACGTTCGTATGGCAGGGGACATATTCGAGGAAGCGGGAAGAGAGATCGCGCCTGGGGCCTGGTCGCCTACGGACCCCCCGGCCTTGCCTGCCCGCCCCTACCCACCGTCCGGATCTGCCGACGGAGGACGTAAAGCACGAAGCTCCAGGCCTTGAGCAGTAGCGCGTAGAGCTTGGCAACGGCGGAGATGAGCGTGCGCAGACCGAGTAGGAGGTAAGTCTTCATGACGAGTGCGGCTGACGCCTTCGCCTCCCGGCCGAGGTGAGACGACATGGAGACCGCCGCTCCGTCCGTGGCTCTCACCTCCTCCTCGACACCGCCATCTTCACCCCTCCCCTCCCCCAGGAGTCCCCCGCCACGACTTCCGGCGAGCCCGGCGGAGCGAAAGGAAGTGACGTATTTAGTGAGGAAAGCCCCTCCCATCTCGCCACACACTCCACTCCCGTCTCCCCCCCCACGCTCCCCCCCCACGCCCCCCACCTCCCTCCCCCCCACCTCCCTCCCCCCCCACCTCCCTCCCCCCCCACCTCCCTACCCTCCCACCTCCCCTCACGCTCCCCCCCACCTCCCCCCACGCTCCCCCCCCCCCACGCCCCCCACCTCCCCCCACGGCCCCCCACCTCCCCCCACCACCCCCCCCACCTCCCCCACGCTCCCCTCCCACCTCCCCCCACGGCCCCTCACCTCCCCCACCTGCCCCCCCACCTCCCCCACGCTCCCCTCCCACCTCCCCCCACGCTCCACCCACGCTCCCCCCCACCTCCCCCCACGCTCCCCCCCACCTCCCCCCACGCTCCCCCCCCACCTCCCCCCACGCTCCCCTCCCACCTCCCCCCACCTCCCCCCACGCTCCCCCCACCTCCCCCCACGCTCCCCCCCCCCCACCTCCCCCCACGCTCCCCTCCCACCTCCCCCCACGCCCACTCCCATCTCCCCCCACGCTCCCCTCCCACCTCCCCCCACGCTCCCCCCACGCTCCCCCCCCCCCACCTCCCCCCACGCTCCCCCCCACCTCCCCCCACGCTCCCCCCCACCTCCCCCCACGCTCCCCTCCCACCTCCCTCCCCCCACGCTCCCCCCACCTCCCCCCACGCTCCCCCCCTCACCTCCCCCCACCTCCCCCCACGCTCCCCCCCCCCCACCTCCCCCACGCTCCCCTCCCACCTCCCTCCCCTCCCACCCCCCTCCCATCTCCCCTACACTCCCCTCCCATCTCCCCCACACTCCCCTCCCATCTCCCCCCACCTCCCCCACGCTCCCCTCCCACCTCCCCCCACGCTCCCCTCCCACCTCCCCCCACGCTCCCCTCCCACCTCCCTCCCCTCCCACCCCCCTCCCATCTCCCCCACACTCCCCTCCCTCCTATCTCCCCCCATCCCCTTCTACTTACCCCCTTCCATCTTCCACCCCCTCCCCTTTCATGAATGAGTGATTGGGCAGAACTCGTAGTACCCGGAGAAACCCGACGCATATGAGGGGATAACACAGAAAGCTCTACTGAAATGGATTCAATCTGTTTACCGTACCGCCATCTAAATGTTACCTGACATCCCACTGAGTTTCACAACTCTGCGTGATCCATCAACCCTTGCCTCCAGTGATGCGTCATTTACGTCTCATCATCCGCAACATCGCAGATGAAAAGAACGGTCATAAAAGGACCACAATCCACAAGAAAAGACACGAAGATAGTTGTTTCAAACAGATGGAAAATCCAGTGCCATTTGAATAAAAAAAGGCGTGACGTTCGTCTCTTTTTACTTGTTTTTATTTTTTTCATAAATAAGGTATCGTAAGACAAAATGCCGCAACAACAAAACCCCACTGTCATTAAGCCGACGCAGCTGAGATTCCAAGGGTAAATCTAGACTAAACTTTTTATTTTATTTGGTCAGACCCCACTGAGCTATGTAGCTTTTTCAGTCACAACCTGGTCACAAATGATAGCTCAACGAAGTGCTTATCATGTGGAAATTGATATCAGCCAAATACTCGAAATGCATGTTTTTAAATGTGGAGGGAAAAACCGGAAGACCCAGAGAAAAATCCACGCGACCATGGGGAGAACATGCAAACTCCAAATATATGGGCGTCGTCAGGGTCGGGTTCGAACCAACGACCTCCTGTATACCGGGCGAGGCAATTAACAGCTCGTCACCGTGGTGACTAAATCGTTTTAGTCCACGGGCCAGAGTAGTAACTTATGCCACCTAAGGCATTACAACTTTAGTCGTTCTGTCTGATTTTATATACATATGACGAATGATAATTATTTGATAACCCCACTCATGTCAAACAGTCATCACAAAATTCACTCTAACTGACCACATAGAGGAATTGGAGCCAGTAACATTATGCCGCACCAGCTGGTACCGGACAAGTGAAATATCTGGTCTGCACCTGCGGACTAAATAAATCAGGATCTCAAGATTTAGTGGTGATGGTCTTAGGACGACCACGAATGACTATACAAAATAAACACATCACGTTAAATGTGGCTTGTTACTCTATTTTGCCGATTCCAGCATTGACGACTTGATTTCTTTGAGAATAAACTCAAAAGAGCATTAATTTCTTTCTGTTTTAATTGCCATCTGACAAACACCGTTTGTGCTCTCGGCATCATCATACGGGACAAAGGCATTTCCACTTGTAACTCGTGGAAAGCAGTGTAGCCTCCGCCTACATTGGAGAACGGTCTTTCAAAGACGTGTTTACATAAATACTCCTGCACCCTTTAAATGCCTCCCATCCACACTCGGGGCACTGTACCTTCTCAAGTGCCCGGTATATTTGATTAATTCACAGAGATGTAATTTTGTGAAAAATTTATTTATCTTGATGGCTTATTGCGGAGATCATCATCAATTCGCTCCACTTGAAATCCCAATTTAAACCGCCGGTGGCTAAAGACCTGGATTCGAACTCAGGTTCTCAGGGGTGGCAGCTCAGTGGCCCTGAAACGACCAATTTTAACCTGCCTGAGCTACTGAGCCACCACTGCGTAGGTTTTCGCAGTTGTGCCGACGTGTTTTTCAGATGCAGCGCGACTTGTTCGGCCCGAAGTCCGACGTTTCACTCCATGTGATGGGACCTGGGAGCTTCTTCAAAAGGTTGAGCTTGAGCTTCATTTCCTAAACAAGAATGTCCCCTTCCGTCGTTCGAGCAAAACATCGGACGTCATGCCAAACAACCCGCAGTACAATCCGGAAACACATCGAAGAGTTCCTCGGCCACCTTCGGCACGTCCAAAACACTGGAGGTCAATGACTGACAAGCTGAACTCTCGTTAACACCGCTCGCTCGCTCACCCGCTCATCATCATCCGCCCCTCCTGCCCAGCTCGGCGCTCAAATGTCCAGGTCATCATCCGGATCCTCGTCATCGATGTCGTCGGCATCGTCAGGGCAGTAGAAGATGCGGCCGCCCCCTATTTGGGTCGGAGACGCACTGCCCCCCGAGGTCAGCAGATCCTGCTTCCTGTGTGGGCAGAATACAGAGAGGCATGGGGGGTCTGACAAAGAAACACTTCTGTTGGTTGGGTGACACCATTTTGACTTCTGCACTTTTTCTTTTCTGCAGGCTTGGGTCCTGAAGACCAGACCTCAACCTCAAGGCCGGCTGGAGGACATTTTATCAGCTTTGGCCCTCGGCCTCAGGGGTGCCGACTCAGTGCGAGGACTTGGCGTAGAGGCACCGGCCCTGACAGTGACCTCAACCTATAAGGCTCCTCCCGGCCTTAGTCTCGTCTTGACCTTTTGTGTTCCATCTTTGGCCTCATGGGTCTTGGCAATGAATCCAAGACTGCACCTCGTCAGCACTGGCCTCCAAGTGGTCGGGTTACCTAGCCCATGCCTACTTTGACCTTCCTGCCAGCCAACTTTTGCAAGCCCCACTACCCAACTCCTGCTATGGTTATTGCCTGACTCCTGGCTCATGGCCTGCACTCATCTGACCCCAGGCTGTACCGTGGCATTGCCCCACACTCGTACATCCCCACCACCACGGCACCCCTGTGCATGGACCAACCCTTTCTTCATTGAACCACCTTTCTCCAGCGTTATCCCTTCACTCCGATCCAGTTTCTTTTGATGTGGTTGAATTTTGATTCATAGGTCGAGCCTGCTTTTGTGATTTATTTTATTTGTTGTTGTGGTGGTGAAGTTTGCTTTGAGGGCTGTGTGCCTGTACTGGACGTGTGTAATGTTTATTCTATTTGTTCTCTGTGTTGTTATTTGTGCTTGTGTGCACCACTGCCAATGCAGTACACGGACTCCTCTACTTATGAACATTCGACTTACGAACTTTATGAGATACAAACAAACCTGTCCGTTTGTCCAGTTGCCTGTTCGGACCGAGAGTCGTAAGTTAAACCGCCACGCAATAGATGGCGGTGGTGACATCTACATCTGCAGAACATGAAGAACCAGTGACATTTGCACCTACAGAAGATTATAAAACTTTTAAAGCCATTCCCCGTGTTTAGTGTACATGACGTACAACATGTTTGGGATCCACAGGAGTGGAGTTGGTCTTACGAACAAATAGACTTACAAACAGACCTCTGGAACCTAACTCTTTTGCAAGTAGAGGAGTCCCTGTATCACAAACTTAAAACAACCAGATATATCCCAGCTGTAAATGCGACACTGGTGAGCAGAAAACGCACTGCTGGGCGGAGAGCTGGTACGGCAGTGCTACACGGCCCCGCGCCTTCCGCTCGTCCTCCGTGAGCCGCAGGTTAAAGGTCAGCTCGGCAGTCGGGTCACACTGCAATCCACAGAGCAGAAGGCACACGGCTCGGCACACAGCTGAACACACAGCTGAACACACAACAGAGCACACAGCTGAACACACAACAGAGCACACAGCTGAACACACAACAGAGCACACAGCTGAACACACAACAGAGCACACAGCAGAGCATTAAGCATGGCACGGCACACAGCTGCGCTCGTTTCAGTTGGTCAGGATGGCTGTGCTACTCACCACAGGTGCCTCGCCAGAATTAGCGGTGGTTGCTCCACTTGACCTGGCACCATCCACTATCAAGCGGGACTCGAACCCGTCGACCACCGCCATGCGCTCCTCCTGCAGCACATTGTTTCGTACGACTTCAATCGTCATCATCATTTATCATCAACATTTTCGTCAGCCTTCATCACGTGTTTATGTGGTCGGCTGTTGCACTGCAAAAGCAGTATGGTGCAGCGACTATAATTGTTGTAACTATGATTACAATCAGGTGCAGCCCTGCAACTGCTTGCTCACACAACTGTTACTAGAAGGATCCTCCACTCGACAGAGCTTTGGAGAGCTCTTCGAGGGTATTTTGACCCGCTCTGCCACGCTGAGCAGATGTCTAAACAAGAGGGAATTCCAGAACTTTGCTTCACCGCACGCAACCTCCCGATCTCTCAACTCTCTCATCTGTGGTATTACCCACGTATACTGCTGGGTGGACAGAGGCGATGTGGCGGGAGGGGGCGGTGATTCAAGAAACATAAATTTACCAGCCGCACAAAAGCGACGAACCTACTACGAGCACCATTGCAGATGCCGGGCTGCACCTTACCACCTCTGATTAGCACAGATCGCTGCGTAGTTCAACCTCCGACCACTGACCGACACTCACCAGGCGAACGACCTTGCCACTCTTTCGCTTGTGCAGGACGCTGACGTCGAAACAGGACCGCGGGGCCGCCTGACCCAACCCCGACGTTGACCCTGACCCGGGCACGTGCGGAAACGCCTGGGGTGGAGCGGGGGTGAGCGTGAGCACGGTGCTTGCGGCGTGGCGCACCGCGTCCGCCGTCGTGCCCTCCGCGTGCGCGTCCCCGTGGAGCAGCGCTACCACCTGCCGCACCTGCACACCTGCCCAGGGGTTGAGAGGTCGATGAGAAGGTCGATGAGAAGGTCGACGAGAAGGTCGACGAGAAGGTCGACGACAAGGTCGACGAGAAGGTCGATGAGAGGTCGACGAGAGGTCAAAAGCTCGGCTACTGGAGGAAATAAGGACAACGCCGTATGTTTCTATGCATGTTGCTCTTCTTTCACACCGTACGTAGCCAACCGTTCTCATCGAATGTGCGGGGGAAAGACAACAAACTCAACACAAAAAACAGTTGTCGCAGGTCGCAACCGAATAACAACAATTTATGTCCATAGAGTGCAGTAGATAAACGGGGTTAAGGTACATTTGTCGCGGAATCTGTGTTGTGCTGGCAAGCGAATTTCCTCGACACTATAAACACATTTTGTCCTCGAAATAATGCGAGTGGATAACTGGATATATATACCACGCTTCTCATATAACAGGGTGTTTGGAAAACCATATCTTTTTTTACGGACACCAATTACCATTTGCATTCCTGAGATATTTATTTTATGGCGTGAAAAGCCACGGTGACTCTATAGCTTTACACTTTGCCCTACTTGTGTTCGTATATAACAGGAATTGTTGAGCTCTCAGAAATCAATCGCACGCTCTTAATGGGATAAATATGGTATTCGTGGGGGTTTTGGGGGGGGGGGGTGACTGCCCTCTCTGCCCTCCCAGGTTCCCATGCACCTGCTATTGTGTTGCTGTCACAGGCAATAAAACCATAGCTTAGCACAGTCGTGCAAAGTCTCAAATTCCTTCAGAGAATTATGGTATTAACTTTTTAAATAGATAATTATATGAGTAGCTAGTTAATGTGTAACTATGTAAGTGTATGGGTCTCGTAGTGTGGGTCTTTTAGTAAGTCTATGGGTCCCCCTATATAAGTGGAAAGTTCTCTTTGCATATCCGAGTATTTGTAAATCTATTGGTTTTATATTAAAGTTTCGTGCCGGGTGGTGGTGCGTACCTGTAATCTAACGCTGTGGAGGCGAGGGTTAAAGGACCACAGAAATGTCTTCCAAATTCCCCAGGAACTAAGGCTTAAATTCTGACAGAGTATTTTTATGGGTCGCTGGTAGACTGCACTCGGTGGCACATGTCTAGTAGCCACAGCCATAGCAAAAAGGGGTATTACTGGATGTTGGTGCGCCATGGTGGCAAGATGTTAACTACCTCGTGTAGTATACAGGAGGTCGTGGGTTCGATTCTGACTCCGATGCCTGCTGTATATTTGGAGTTTGCGTGTTCTCCCCGTGGTTGCATGGATTTTTCTCCGGGTCCTCCGGTTCAATCCCCCACATTTAGAAATCTACGTATAAGATGTGAACTACCTCGCCTAGTATACAGGAGGTTGTGGGTTTGATCCCGACCCAGACGCCTGCTGTATATTTGGAGTTTGCGTGTTCTACCCGTGGTCGCATGGATTTTTCTTCGGGTCCTCCAGTTCAATCCCCCACATTTAGAAATATGCGTTTAGAGTATTTGGCTGCTATAAATTTCCAGATTATGATAAGCCACTTTGTTGGGCTATCATTTGTGGCCAGGTCGCTTCTAAAAAAGAGCTATATAGCTCAGTGGGCCTTACCTGGCAAGAATAAAAAAAAAAATTAGTGGTGTCTCGGGTGCAGACATATTTTGTGGGTGGCTAACCCAGACAGATCCAGCTGAAATGAAGCCATGCCCGTATCTTCTTCCGGGACGCAGCTTCACCCGACCACTGATCAGGGAGCACTCACCGTCATCGTGCCGCCGATCGGCGAGGGCTTGGAGGCGTGACAAGACACGGGGCCACCCGGCGTGGAGCAGCAACGGAGACAGCGAGTCCAGAACCACGCACAGCGGCCCCCGGTCTGGCCCGGACGCCCCCCCAATGGCCGCCCGCAGGTCGATGACGCCGTGGGCGTGCGGAAAATTCGGTGCGGTCGGCGTCTCCGGAATAAGGGCACCAGAACCCGTCCAGCCCAGCGGGTCGGAGAAGCAGTCGTGGTGGACGAGCCTGCCGCAGCACGGCCAGACGCGGCGCGACCGCTTTCGTCACAACGCGACGTGCCGATCCGGTGCGTGGTTTTAAAACGGGGCTAGCTTCACGGGCTGTCTGTGTCAAACAGCGGGCACGTACATTACTTCCGTGGTTTATTACCTAGTGACACGACGTCAGGTACGTACTAAGGATCCATCATCCGTTTACGATGTTTATTATTTGGTAAACTGTCTTGGAACATGTTATGACTGTAGGTCTACCACGTGACATCCAGCAATGTGATGAACCGCCACGATTTGTTTCCCTTTTTACATGTACCATACATTACACCGCCAGAACAATTTAGCACTCAAACAACGACGGATATTATTATGGCTATTTTTGTTGCGCTATCGATTGCACCACGGGGCGTGGGGTGGCACAGGCGAGGTCTCTCACCGGGACGTGACGTCGGGCACCAGGCCGGCGCTGACGGCAGAGCGTGACATCTCCCAGTGGAACACGTGAACGGTCTCCCCACTGCAGCACGCGTGCCAAACACGTCACCCACACCGCCACCAACAGGGCCAACACGAACATCAACAGCATCAATACTACCATTAACAACACTAAGATCGACAGCATCAACACCACCATCAAAACTACAATCAACACTACTACCATCAACACTAAGATCAACAGCATCAACACTACCATCAACAACATCGTCAACAGCATCAATACTACCATTAACACTAAGATCAACAGCATAAACACCACCATCAAAACTACAATCATCACTCCTACCATTAACACTAAGATCAACAGCATAAACACCACCATCAAAACTACAATCAACACTACTACCATCAACAGCATCAACACTACCATCAATACTAAGTTAATTTAGTATTATTATGGGTACATTTATTATGGATAGGTGTATTTTGTTTAACCAGGTGAGAACGCAAGAGGCCATGATCGTCTCATTTGCAAGAGTGACCTGGGGCATTGGGCTGCCTGTAAGGGGGTGATGATTGCTGCTGGTACGTGTATACAAATTGGATCCTAACACTTGCACAACAAAGGCACACTCTTGCGGATGGCGTCAGGGGATCTTTAACGTCCACTGAAGCAGACGGCGCGTAGTGTGCATGTTACAGCCACAGTCATTGGTCGGGTAGTGGTGGCGTGTTGACCTGAGAGGTGACAATGCGGATGGTGGTGTTGATGGTAGTGTTGATGCTGTTGATGGTAGTGTTGATGCTGTTGATGGTGTTGATGGTAGTGTTGATGGTGTTGATGGTGTTGATGGTAGTGTTGATGGTAGTGTTGATGGTGTTGATGGTGTTGATGGTATTGTTGATGGTGTTGATGGTAGTGTTGATGGTGTTGATGCTGTTGATGGTAGTGTTGATGGTAGTGATGATGGTAGTGTTGATAGTGTTGATGGTGTTGATGGTAGTGTTGATGATAGTGTTGATGGTAGTGTTGATGGTGTTGATGCTGTTGATGGTAGTGTTGATGGTGTTGATGGTAGTGTTGATGCTGTTGATGGTAGTGTTGATGGTGTTGATGCTGTTGATGGTAGTGTTGATGGTAGTGATGATAGTAGTGTTGATAGTGTTGATGGTGTTGATGGTAGTGTTGATGATAGTGTTGATGGTAGTGTTGATGCTGTTGATGGTAGTGTTGATGGTGTTGATGGTAGTGTTGATGCTGTTGATGGTAGTGTTGATGGTGTTGATGGTAGTGTTGATGCTGTTGATGGTAGTGTTGATGGTAGTGCTGATGCTGTTGATGGTAGTGTTGATGATGCTCCATTGGAACCTCATTTGCCAGTAAAAAAATATGATAATTGGTTTTCTACCCTTTTATCTGGCAACAAAACTGACACCCGAGTCTCGGGTGTGGACCAATCAACTTCAAGGACAGTGCATATCATTATCAGAGTTATGCTTTTTGTTTGCATTCCGACTGCAGGTATTGTGGTCTATGCAAACATGACTCCTTGTAAAAATAGATGTCAGTTTTGTTGCCAGATAAAAGGGTAAAAAAACAATTATCAGTGTTGATGCTGTTGATGGTAGTTGATGCTATTGATCTTAGTGTTCATGGTGTTGGGAGTGAGACTTTAAGGACCATCGCAATCACCAGCATCAGCATCGCCAGCATCGTGACGGACCAAAGATGACGCTCACCGATGTGAACTCTATATTCATCTTCTTAACAATCTTCATTTTACCAGCGAAGATCACGACAATTTAAGCCTCGTTACAGAAAAAGCTCCGATGCGTGAACAAATACAAAAAAGTGGCATTTACACGTTACAAAAACGTCTTCACTGGGTGTGGGTGAGTTCATTAGTCAGCGCGGATACGTGACGCTCGGATAAGCGACGTCGTGCTGCTGCATCAGAATCTGAATATTTATCCTGGAGGAATCCGATGAGCTGTAAATCTTCTTGGTTCTTTCGGTAAAGTCACGTAGAATGGAAATAATAAAATAAAATAAAACATTATAAAATAATATTATATTTAAAAAAAAGTTTATTTTATTATTTTATTATTTCCATTCTACGTGACTTTACCGAAATAACCAAGAAGATGAATCCCTGCAGTCACGAAAGCTTTAAATCGAAATTTTATTATGTTTTATTTTTATTATTTTATTATTTCCCTTCTACGTGACTTTACCGAAAGAACCAAGAAGATGAATCCCTGCAGTCACGAAAGCTTTAAATCGAAATTTTATTATGTTTTATTTTTATTATTTCCCTTCTACGTGACTTTACCGAAAGAACCAAGAAGATGAATCCCTGCAGTCACGAAAGCTTTAAATCGAAATTTTATTATGTTTTATTTTTATTATTTCCCTTCTACGTGACTTTACCGAAAGAACCAAGAAGATGAATCCCTGCAGTCACGAAAGCTTTAAATCGAAATTTTATTATTTTATTTTTATTATTTTATTATTTCCCTTCTACGTGACTTTACCGAAACAACCAAGAAGATGAATCCCTGCAGTCACGAAAGCTTTAAATCGAAATTTTATTATGTTTTATTTTATTTATTTTATTATTTCCCTTCTACGTGACTTTACCGAAAGAACCAAGAAGATGAATCCCTGCAGTCACGAAAGCTTTAAATCGAAAGCTGTAAATCTCTTTTCTTTCACAGACGCTGCATTGTACAGCGGCCTCGGAGCAGGCGTTTCTCACCGCAGGGCAGCGCCTCTCATGAGGCTCTTCAGCAAGGCTCTGCCCGGCTGCGCCAGGGAATCTGCATGCCAGAACAGGGAAAATCAGAATCTTTATAACACGCAGTAGGCTTTCGCGACCAATATCATCCATAATGCAGGTGTTTTGGGGTTAGATCGAGTAAATGTGTGTCGTTAAACCCGCCACCACCCGACACGGCCAACTAGTAAGGGTTGTCACGTTAACAGAACGTGCCAATTTGTCACTAGTACAGCACACCGGTTGTGTGTTGGAGAGCCAAGCCACAACATTTACAATCTGTCGCCTGATGAAGCTGGTTGTAATTACTGGCGAAACGTCGTACTCAAGATTGTAAATGTTGTGCCTTGGCTCTCCAACACACCGGTGGTGCTGGACTAGTGACGAATTGGCCACGTTCTGTTTACGTGACAAACCCTTTACTAACTGGCTGTGTCGGGTGGTGGTAGGTTTCAAGACACATTTATATATTTACGCGAAGTAACCCAACAAACAAAAAACCCCTCGTGCAGAATCTTTATTTAGACTCCCGATGAGCTGAGACGTAGGGGTGGCTCAGCAAGTGACAAACAACACATTGGGTCTACAGCACCAAATCAACACGACAGCACTATCCACAGTAGGTGACATGCAGGCACCGCCACCAATCAGTTACATCAGAATCCTTTATCTCGACACATGCCCAGTCGGGGGCCGGTCATACCAGGCACACCAGAAAGATCCTTCTTCCAAGCGGGCACATCATCATCAAACAATCCACGCCGCTCCGTCTCCTAGACGGGCCCTTCTCACGTGCTGCTGTGGATTACTATACCGTAGTGACATCGCAGGGACGTAGCGGGGGAGGGGGGGGGGAGATGCATTCATCCAGCAGTGGACTGACCATGGCTGACGATTACAATAAACCCCGACCACGTAACACGTACCGACTATGAGCACGAATTCACTCCGCTCGCTGCCCGCGATAAGCTCCAGCAGCATGGCTTGTTGGTCACCCCGACGCTTAGACTGTTTGCTAGTATAGCTATGGTTGTTGTTGTTGCTGCTGTGTTGTTAGTTTAATGTAAGGGACAGCTGTGAGTGTTTACACGCAGCCTCGCTGTAGCTGCGCGTCGTGCGGCAACGCGAGTTTGCGAACAGCTGATGATGTGGCCCGTAGACACGTGGTGGTCGCGGGCTGATGACGCCACCCGTGATGCCGGTTTACTCACCGCCGTCTCGTCCGGATTATAAGACGCAGCCCCCCCCCCTCTCAGCCCCTCCCCAGTCAGCCCCCCCCTACTCAGCCCCCCCCCCCTACTCAGCACCCCCCCCGCCCCCCCTCCCAGCCCCTCCCCAGTCAGCCCCCCCTACTCAGCCCCCCCACTCAGCCCTCCCCCACTCAGTCCCTCCCCCACTCAGCCCCCCCCCCCACTCAGCCCTCCCCCACTCAGCCCCCCCCTCACTCAGTCCCTCCCCCACTCAGCCCCCCCCCGCCCCCCCCTCCCAGCCCCTCCCCACTCAGCCCCCCCTACTCAGCCCCCCCACTCAGCCCTCCCCCACTCAGTCCCTCCCCCACTCAGCCCCCCCCCCCACTCAGTCCCTCCCCCACTCAGCCCCCCCCACTCAGTCCCTCCCCCACTCAGCCCCCCCCCACTCAGCCCCCCCCCCCACTCAGCCCTCCCCCACTCAGCCCCCCCCCCCACTCAGCCCCCCCCCACTCAGCCCCTCCCCCACTCAGCCCCCCACTCAGCCCCCCTCCACTCAGTCCCTCCCCCACTCAGCCCCCCCCCACTCAGTCCCTCCCCCACTCAGCCCCCCACTCAGCCCTCCCCCCACTCAGTCCCTCTCCCCACTCAGCCCCCCCCCCCCCACTCAGGCACATGTCTTGTGGTATTGTTGCAAATTCTCGGAAGTGTTAACATCTTTTTGAAGCACTCTGTATATGACACCGTCGTTGAAACTGATTGGCCTACCCCAGAGACGCTGGTGGTGGTGAGACAGGGCCTTGAATTAGGAAGGTTGTCGTCTCTGGTATAGACAGTATAGACAAATTCGGGTTTAGCAAAACAAATTGAACGTGGCATGTCCAACCCGCTTGGCTCAATCCACTGCTGGATGAGAGCCCCTCCCCCACCCGTGCTAGGGGGGGGGGGGTATTTGACCATACTTCACCGCGCTGGTCAATGCAGCGTTGGGAAGACATGGGAGCATAAACTTGCAGTAAAACAATGGCATCCCCCACCCCCTGTCTACGCTGCGTAATTAGCCCCCGCATTCTATAACGCCTGTTATGCATTGTTAGTCATCGTCCCTTCAGAATTCAAACTACACAGGCTCCAACCTGCTTAGCTTTTGAGATTTTCTGCATTGTGCACGTGGACGGGTTCCATTCTATTCCTGGGTATGATGACAGCAGCAGGAAGATGTTCAGGAGGTCCATGCCAATGTCGAGGTCTGCTGATGGCCACGAAGAGTTCAAGTTCAAGTTCATTTATTAGGTATAGCCCTGTGAGCCATTCAGCTCTTGAATCGGGTGCAACCGCAACAAACAAAAAACAAAAACATGAACAAAAAACATCTTAAAGTGAATATGTGACTAAGTGCAAACAGAAAATTCAAGAAAAGACAGCAAAATATTGCAGAAGAAAATCACCGTACACCAACGCTGTGTGCAAAAATCTCAGTGGGATGCAAGTCAAACAACAACAACAACCACAAGACAGCTTAGATTAAGGCCATCAGTCTAACTCTGTACTACAACAAACAAACATGGCTAAACCAATACACTTTTCGAAATCACCAAAATAAAGCCATGAAAGCAATGAAAAAGCAACCATAGGAACTGTGACGGAATTTTCACAATAAATGGCATAAACAACATCTACTACCAAAACCCTGCAGCCATAGCTGGCTGCATGAGTCACTCCACAACAGCAGGAGCATCAATCGGAGTATTGTAATTTTTCAATGCACCTTTAAGATCAGCACACTAAATCAAAACACAGGTTATACTTTGTAGCGATCATCCGGAGCGAAACATTTAATTTTAGGTCACTGAATAGCACTGGCAGCTAGGGGTGTACAACTCCTCTAGAGCAGTTTTGAGTGAAGATCTCATAGGTAGTGACTCAAGTTTCAATTTATTTGCAACAGCATTCCAGACCCTGGGGGCATCAATAGCAAAGGCCCTTCCTCCAGTATATGTACGGCAATAGGGAATATTAAGCTGGTAAATGAGTGTAGACCTTAGGTCAAATTTGTTCTTTGAAACAGAGACGAGATCCAGCAGGTAATCTGCAGATTTTTTTGCAAGTACATCATGAATAAATAAGATCTGGTGCACAAGCCGTCGAACATTCAGAGATGTTAAGTTTGACCCAATGTAGAGATCACAGTGGTGAGTCCTATATGGGCAGTTCAATGCAAATCTTAAGGCCGAGTGATACATTGAGTCAAGCTTCTTCAGTACAGTTCTGCGTGGTCCGTAGTGTGGGGTTGCCTGTAATGTGTCTCAATGTGTCTGTGTGTCTCTATGGGTCTCCATGTATCTCCATGTATCTCTATGTGTGTGTCTATGGGTCTCCATGTATCTCTAAAACTCTCCGTGTATCTCTGTGTGTCTCTATGGGTCTGCATGTATCTCCATGTGTGTCTCTATGGGTCTCCATGTATCTCTATGCGTGTCTCTATGGGTCTCCATGTATCTCTATGCGTGTCTCTATGGGTCTCCATGTATCTCTGAGTCTCCATGTGTGTCTCTATGGGTCTCCATGTATCTCCATGTATCTCTATGTGTGTCTCTATGGGTCTCCATGTATCTCTATGAGTCTCCATGTATCTCCATGTATCTCTATGGGTCTCCATGTATCTCTATGGGTCTCCATGTATCTCCATGTATCTCTATGTGTGTCTCTATGAGTCTCCATGTATCTCCATGTATCTCTATGGGTCTCCATGTATCTCTATGGGTCTCCATGTATCTCCATGTATCTCTATGTATATTTCTATGGGTTTACTATGCGGTCCATAGTTTGGGTTGCATGGCCACAATCGCACGGCTGTCGCTTGTAATGCATGATACATATACACACACAACGTTTCGGGCAATGGCCCTTTTTCATAGCACAATAACAATTTTATCTTGGTACAATGTTAATATTGTGCTGCGCGTCACTCGCTCTTACATCTCGTAGTCCGCATAAGCGCGGCGCGTGCGCGAGTAATTTAATTATTTACGTATCTCTCTCGTGATTGGTCGCAATCCCCCCACCCCACCCCGCCCCGCCCCTAGCGGGATCGGGCGCCCAGCCAATGGGAAGGCGGCCTTGGGCGCGACCGCGCTGGGATTTCCAGAAGCTCGAGCGGCTGTGGCTTGGCGTTTCCTCGTCGCGTCTTCGTCCTCGGGTAAATTTTTTTTATAAAAACAGCACCGAGCGAGAGAGCTTTCGCTCGCCCGCCTATGTGCCTTTCATCTTCACGTTCTCACAGTTTCGCCTCTGGAGCTGGCGTCGTAATTGCGTTGGTTTTTTCGATATTTCGCGCGACGCGGCCACGCGAAGCCGCCGTTGCGATGGCAACGTCCTACGCTTTCCTACTAGGCCGCAGGCGTCTGACGCCATCGGCATTGTTTTTAAAATGATTTATTTTAATTCTTCGTGATTTTTTTGTTCGCTATATTTTTTTTCTTGACAGGTGAGTGGATTTGATGTTTTATGCACGAGGAAGATATATTTAGGGGTTGTAATGTTTTTTTTTTTTAATGAATGGATTGCTGCACGAGTCTTGTACAGCGATGCATTGTGCTATTCAGAAGTGGCTTTTGATTTACGGATACTCTTAGTGAGGTTATTACTTTTTTTATACCTTTATGTGTCAATCTCATGCAGTTTCCTATCCTTTTAAATACGGTGACAGTTCGGAGACAGTGCTACGCTTGGTCGCAGAACACTCGACGGTGTTTAGGGAAAAGTTAAGTAATGAATTTGTAGCGGTGATGAGCAGAAACAAGGAATAGCATGCAGCATACATTCTCATTCGCCCTCTTAACAGCGTAACATCGACTCTGTGAGGCGTTCTTATGGCTTAGATACCTTTATATAATCGTCCGTTGAGACCAAGTCACTTTTCCAATTAATGTGTAAACACCATGTAGAAAGTATGATTTTTTTATACTTATGATTTATTAAAAAATCTATAAATATTAAGTAATACACAAGGGTGTCTGCAATGTCAAATATTTCGTAAAAAATTGCATTGAGATTGTCCAATAGTGACTCGTAACATAAACCTTAAACTTGAATGACACAATCGAATGTTTAATGCAGCAGAGGCACAATATCATTCGACATGTCAAGGGAAATTATCCAATGAGGGTTCACTTTTGATAAGTGACATACATTTAGAAGCCTGCCTTAAGAGCCCATTCGACAATAAAATTTCCATAAGAAGGAAAATATATAAGCCATATTTCGGAAAACAAGCTTAATTGCCCATCTGCAATGGTTATTTTTTTAAATCTGTACTGTGAAGGGCTATTACCAATGTTTGAAATGGCACTTTTATTTACGAATAGGTTACGTTTTAATATTTTAATATCTGTGCATACGCACGATTGTCAACACAGCATAGTATTACAAAACATATTTGAGTACATTATTAGGGTGTGCCAATGAGCTTAGCAGCTCAGTTCATTGGCAGTAAAGGTTTTGAAATACGAAGTGTTTTTTAATAGACATTTGGCACGCTGTATTGAACGGATTTTTGTTTTCACTTTACCGATGGTTAGGTGGAGGGTGGGTTGCTTTTGTTTCTCAACATTTGTTGGTGCCTTAAGTGGTGTTGAATAACATTCATTCATGCGAGGAAGCCACCACCTCCACGTTAAGTGAATTAATGAAGGGGAAACGTAAACAATGGGACGCGGTCTGCATGCCAGGCACCAAGCGGGGACGGTGCAAACATTGCTTTGTTTGGATGCGGGTGGGTGGGGGGCAGTGTTGCGAGGCAAATATATCGGGTTACGATTGCACTCATAAACCCTGACCAAAGTAATGTTTCAGCATGACCCTGCACGCACACACTTGATAAAATAGTCCACAGTTCAGGTTGACCAGATTATAGGGGCAAGCTAACCTAGGGAAGAGTTTTTTTTTTTTACCAATCTAATCGGCAGCGACGGTTATTACTTTTTGAAAAGTGGCATCTGATTAAAAGTGGAAGATAAATGCTCGGGGTGGAACGAAGCATCGATTAGTGTTGATTTAAATTGTCAGAAAAAAGACTGGTCCATGGAAGCAAACGTCTTTATGGGGTGGCAACTTCCCACCCTACCTGATAGAGTACACGACAGTGAAATAATTATAGTCTCCAAGCTGGCCAAATTAAGTACATGTAATATTGTTTTGATCTTAATTCATTGGCGATTAAACTCTGGCGTCTTTACCTTCCATCTCATTCTCATCGTCTCGCTCTCATTGCTGTTGTTTCTCGCCATAGCTAGGGTAGCCTGATGCAAGGAAGCGGTTGCCATGGCAGCAGCATCACCTAGCAGCAGGCCACGCAGCCGGGCCGGCAGCAGCGGCTCCCTGGAGGCCGCATACAATGCGAGGCCACCGCGGCCGCCCTCGGCCAAAGGCCGTGTGCGCCCGTCCTCATCTCACGCCGCCGGTGGCGCGGCAACCCGTGGCAGCATTGGCGGCGACGGCCTCACCGATGGTTCCGCTGTTGCGTCATCTCCCCCTTCCTCTCCTCCTGGGTGGTTCCCACCATCGACACCGCGCTCCGAGCTGGCGGGTGGCCGGGCTACCCCGCGGCCCCCCTCGGCCGCCCCTCGGCCTCCATCAGCCCGGACCTCCTACGTGGGGGGCGGTACTCCCGTGGTCCAGCGGCCCACGCTCAACCGCTACTCCGTGCTGCCCGCCATCCGGGGCGGCCGCAGCACCGACGATGGAGATGAAGGGGATCCCGACGAAAGTCGCCACCAACACGACGCCGAGGCCGGCATTGATGCACTGAGCCTGAGGGGCGACGAGGAGCCCAGACCGCATGGTCGCCCTCTCTATCGGCAGCAGCAGCAGCAGCAGGATCATCAGCAGCAGGATCATCAGCAGCGGGACGAAAAGGAGAGCGGGAACCCAGTGCCAGGCCTTTCGTCACCATCGCTATTGCTGGCTGTGCGTCTGCCGTCAGGAGAGCGTGTCGAGCGGCACTTCTCCCCGGACGAGACACTGTCCGCGGTTCTGGCGTTTGCGCTGTCGCGGCGAGGCAACGACGGGCAACGGGGGGAGGAGGAGACGGCAGTTGTGGGGAGACGGCGCTGGGTGGTGGGAGCCGGACGTGCACGTTACACCGACCTGACCCGTTCGCTGCGAAGCTGCGACGTGCGGGACAGGACACTGCTCTATCTGTTCTTGGAAGAGGACGACTGAGGGTATGCGGTGGTGAAGAAGGAAAACTAAACAACCACCATTGCGAAGGTTTTTTGCAGTTGTGCTGTATATAGTTCGCAGACGTGTTTTTGTGCAGCATATCTGACGTTCCACTCCACATACTGCGAGCTTCTTAAGTTCGTCTTTGGGGGATGAGAAATGATTGCTTATTCAATTATCAAAGAATCTTCTTGGGTTCACGACGAAGCTCCCAGCACGTGGAGAAAAATGTCAGACGTCATGCCAAACAACACGCGCGAGAACCCGAAAATACATTGGAGGGCTAAGACACCGAGCACCATTACCGCCGCCCTCCCCAGCGTGTGTCGATGCAGGCACCAGACAAGCTGGGTTGTGGCCACCCACAAGGTGCTGAAGCCTTGTTCACATTTACAGTACTTTAAAAAGAAAAAAAATTCAAGATAATTGCCAAGGTTGACGATTGCCCTCGCAATTCAAACTCATACCGTTTGAAATATCGTTCCGTTCGTCGCGTTGGGTGACCGCGGCATCTCTCGAGACTCTTTGCAGAGAACGCAAGCCGTGTGGGCAGTGTCGCGCTTTGGTTACCGCCACGGGCATTTGGTACGACGACGAGCGAGGGGGCAGAGAAATGATAGAATGGTTGTGCTGTGTACATAGCGGTGAAAGGAATCTAAACAAAAAAAATATCGTTAGTTACAAATTTTTCAATCTCTTATTTTTTATGCGATTGTTTACTCTGAAATAAATTTTACACGATAATGCTTCTAAACTGTTTATGGAGTATCGTGTGCTTTTACGGGACAATGGACTTCGTAGCCCAATGGATGCTCAGAGAATTACAATCATACATCTGAGCCAAGACATTGCCATGCCCTCCTGATGCCTGCAGTGAATAAGAACCAAACTATGATATGCTGGTCTCAAGACATCGGGTTTGGCCAAGCAGGGCCAGGGGGTGTGGCTTCTCATGCTTTTATTGCACGTGACGTCAGTCGTACACGGAGGACACAGCGTCACGTCATCTACACGCGTCTCAACTTGTTAATTCGTGTGACATCCGTGTCATGACTCGCATTCTGCAGTGGAAAAACAATCTGGCACCTCTTGAGCTGCACCAGGTTGGCTCGGCCCAGTTGTACAATGGCAGACAGCAAGACAACGGTACATTTTATAATTGTCCGGCTTTTGATTAAAAATTAACTTCATTATCGATGTGCAGCCATGCCAGTGTGCTGCCTCTCGCGAGTCCCTGAGTGGAGACGCACATTTATCCGTCTCGTTCATTTAATTCCAGTTCGCACATCAACGGCGACTAAAAATCCAGTGAATACTTAGGGTTGCAGGGAACGTGAATTATCATGACAAGTCATGACTCACCAGCCTTTTGTTTTTCAAGAGACATTTTCAGACATCGAGGAGACAAGATGGAGTCATCGATTAAGCTCCATTTTCAAATTTACACAAAACTACCACATTGTGTGCAGATGTGCATGCAAATTAGCACCTCTGATGACAACATTCGTCAGATGATGCATCTGATGAAGACCGTGCTGCAGTCGAAACATTTCACTTGTTAGATAAAATTCTGCTTTGCCCCACCTTGCGCAAAGGTGGACAAATGCTATGCTAGTTTCAAAAGTGCACCTGTTTACTCGGGTCAGGAGGACACTTTTGGCAAAAGAAAAACACTATTCAATGACACCACCATGATTGTAGCTGCAACAGGCTGCCCTGCAAGTTTCCCGAGTACCTTGCAAGCGTACACGCAATGTCGTGTCGCCACTCCGATTTGTTTTCAGGTTGTACCGTGTGTTGGGTCTGCATGATATGCAACGTTTTGCACTGGGCGCTTGAGTTCTTGAAGCAGCTCCCAGAATACGGAGTGAAACGGTGGATATCGTACTGGACCAGCAAGCGGTACAACCTGAAAACACATTGTCGAGAGCTGTACAGCACAACAACGAAATAGTAGGCAGCCACATTCTCAAGCTGTAAATAGGTTTCTGTCAGGCTTGGTTGCCCGAATGGCCTTAAATGTTCCACATTGGAGTAAAACACTGCCGGGGTTGAGACACGGTGGCTATCGTACATGTTGTGGTTTCCTAACGCCGCCTTGTTTTACTTGCATTAGTGGCGTAACATGATTGGCGTGGGCCCTGGTGAAAGGGAAACAAATTAAATGGGGCACCCCATCCAATTTCCGCCCCAAAACGTCGTAGCTCGGTCCCTTGGGCGCCCCGGTGCCGTTGTCCGACCTCCACACTTGTTAGCTACTCCACCGGCTTGTAGGGAACCTGTGACACGCAAATTACTGCAATGTAACCTCAGATTTACCAGACGTTGGAAGTTGTCTTCTTTAGTTTTCATCATAAGTGTGCCATGTATTATGTTGGCAGTTATCACAAACAAGAAAAAGCCAATAGTGTTGATGCAAGACTACCGCAGCACGTCAACAGTGGGCTCTTTTTTAAATTTCCTGTTTTGTAATTTAATAAATAAAAATCAAACTTAAGGACCTGTGCTTTAACAACAGTGGCACACGTCATCTTACGTTTTGTAATCACATCACAGTCGTGAACACTCCTTCCACACAAGATGAGAAACTTTAAAAAGAAAAATATACCCTGAAGAATGACGGCTAAGCGACACCATCCAAAACCCTCAAAGCCCTTATGATATGCCCGCGCGCTGGGCGCAGAGGCATTCAGGTGACGTAAAAAAACACATTGAAACAAGACCTATCAATGGGCCAAGTAGGTGAGGCTTACGCAAGGCTTCTGAACGCTAGGACGTCTTTGCATGGGTGGTCGAGGTTGCGGGATCTGTGGGGAGCGGGGGCGGAGGCGTTGGCCTCAGCGTGAGCAGGATGAGCACGTGACAGACGTGCAGGGCGAGGGAGGAGATCTCTGTGGAGGGGTACGTGTTCCACGCCAGCTCGATGACGCCCAGCACAAGCACCCTGCGGTTGCACAAACACCAAAAGCCGTCCTTTAGCCTCGTTCAGACATCTGAGACGAGCGCTGTCCGTAGAAAAGCGTTGCCGGCGAGTCTTCGCTTTTTTTACGAAAATGGTAAAGACGTTTTGTTGGCAAAGTGTTTTCTATTAGGCGACGGCGACAATGCAATCAAGTCGACGAAAAATCGTCGCGCATCGTGCGAAACTCGTATCCCGATAAATGTATTGTGAAATTTGATATCGTATCCCGAAAAATTTGATTTCGAAAACCCAATATCTCTCCTATACCTAAGCCCTCACCTTGACTGTCACCATCGGTTAGTGTTGAGGCTGCAACCAGTGTTCATTTAGTGAAGGAATATAGTGATGAAAATATTTGTCAACAAAGTCGTTTATTTTATTTCATAAAAAATTAACTATGACTTGGGGCAGAAAGTGCTGTTAGCGAACACCTACTCAGGCCGGCACTGCGCACGAGCCCCAAACCAGCACAGTGGGTGCATGTGCGCTGCCCAGGCGTGAGTCTCACCGCAGCAGCGGAGCCACGGAGCCGAGAGGGCAGCACCAGACCAGGAAGGGCAGCGAGTGGAAGTACCACACGTAGAACTGGTAGTGCAGGGACCGCGCGAAACACACGCCAACCAGGTTGGACGAGAAGAGCACGAACGCCATCTGTGAAGCAACGCGTCAAGGACGACCAACGCACGGACAAACTTGCAATACACGACGACAAATCCAATCATGTTTTAAAAGGGAATAAACGGCACTTAATGGAGAAAGATGGTGCATAGCAGCAAGCGGCACTGTTGAAAGTGTATAACAGGAAATACCTTTTTTGATTTGAGCAAGATAATCGGTGGGATGGAATTCCACAGCTGAGTGGCATGTAACAAGGTGGCTAAGCGCAGCATGGATGAGAGAGGAAACTTAAACTGGTAGAACGAGTTCTTGACATGGGCAGAGGAATCCAGGCGTGAAGTCCACGGTCGTAGCAATTAAAGGCTGACAAGGAAGCGACTGAACGATGGAGAGCGAGAGACTGGGGTGGTATCGGAAGGATATGATCGTCGGTCATTGGGTCACGCTTCTTTTTCTTCGTGGGCGCTTTGAGGAGACCTAGGAGGCCTTCCCCGGGCCTGGCGAGAGATAAAACACTGTCACAACCCGCTCGGCGACACTTCACACAAGTACACCATGACTTATCAGCACCGCCCTGGCGGTCGTGGGTGACACGAAACAGCCTGGTAGACAAAGTCCTCACCGTGGGTGGAGGAATGAATGAGTGAAATTCACAGGAAACAATAACCAAGGTAGTAGCTGATACAAGAGTGATAAGGAGACCAAAGTGCCCCCCTCTCAGACTCCTGTCCCCGTTACCGGCTCCAGTGACGGTGGGCGTAGAGGAGCAGCACGGCGAGGTGCGCGGCGAGCAGAGCGGCGTGGAATCCGCGGTGCAGGAAAAGCCATTCGGGCAGCAGGCGCCAGTTCACGGTCCACTCATACAGGAAGCTACGCCCGAGGTCGAAGGCCCTCGTCGCGTAGCCCAGCGGGTTCGCCAGTAGGAAGGGAAGGCCCAGTACCACCTGGGTGAGAGGGTTCGGGATACAAACCGCCCCCTTCATTGTCATCATCATCAATCGATGGCCTCCTCGTTTTGAATTAAGTCAAGGGCGTCTTTAACGTCAGCTGTGAGGCATGCGGTGCGAAGTAGTAGTAATGTTATTAGGGTTAATACACCAGCAGTATTAACCAGGCAGCCTGCCATTGGAAGCCACTGCAGCTATGCACTTTTAAAACTAGATTGAAAACTAATTTCTTTAAAACTGCTTTGTTTTTATATTCTTGGTTCTTTCAGTAAAGTCACGTAGAAGGGAAATAATAAAATAATATAAATATAAAACAATAACACAAGCAATCATCATCAGGTGTGAAATCCACAGCGAGAAAATTTTCTTGCTGTGGATTTCACAGTCGAAACGTCGTGAGAATTTGAATTGTTTTATATTTATATTATTTTATTATTTCCCTTCTACGTGACTTTACCGAAAGAACCAAGAATATGAATCCCTGCAGTCACGAAAGCTTTAAATCAAAATTTGCTTTGTGTTTAGTTTGTCGTCCTTCCCCGCACCTCCAATTAACATGGTTGGCTACATACGGTGCGACAGAAGTTCAACGTAGACACACACATACGACTCCGCAACGTGCGGCGAACGCGCTAACCGATACCGCCGGTGCCGGCGGCAGCTCGCCTGGAGAGCGGCACACACGGCCAGGCGCGGCACAGCACGCGCTGGGCCCAGCTCCCGCAGCAGCACGAAGAGCAGCCCCGGCGCAAACAGCAGCACGTTCATCTTCACCGACACGGCAAGGCTGCGGGAAACAACAGCAGCTGTAGCATCAGCATCGCCACGTTCATCGACACACACAGCCCAAGCCGTTGTGAACGATTCGTGGACACTCGCAATCTAGATCCCCCCCCACGTCCCCGGCTTCCGGCCTACGGATATTGAGAATGTCAATACGATCATTGACATTGACACAGCCAGGAGTAGAACCACACTTGTTGTGCTCATCTGCTTTTGTTCCCGCTTTCCCAGTCGGTGCCTGCTGCGTCCGACCCGTATGTCACAGACGGCAGCGTGCGGCGATTGAAAACCTTCTCAAGCGTAGTCGACGTTCATCATCAATTATCGCCACCGACAGTGCCAGGCGATGGCAACAGCGGCGCAATCGTGTCGACGTCGCTTAATTGGTTGGTCGCTCGTTCGTGCAACTGGCAGAGCGTGCGAGCGGGCGGTGGCGCGGATACCTAAAGACGAGGCATCCCAGGGTCCAACGGCGGTCCAGCAGGAGGTTGACTGAGGCGAAGAGGATCGCCATAGCGACGGGGTCGTTGAAGAGGCGCAGCACGAAGATGGAGTGCACGCGGTACGAGGCGCAGCACATGAAGAAGAGCGCGTAGGGTGGCACCTGGGCAACGGCACACACGAGCGTGACACACCGCCCTTCAATCCATCCACCTGGTCAAACGCCACAATGCTGGTAACCGTCGCGTATCGCAGGTCGCGCGTCGCGGTCCCACCCGTCGGACACGCGCGTAGATGCGGAAGACGAGGACGAGGGTGACGAGGTAGAGGACAGCGAAGATGTACTGAGCCCTGCGCACGTCCACGCCGCGCTCCGTCACGTGGTACAGCAGCGAGTAGACATACACGAAACCCGCAGGGTAGCTGGGTGGGGGGGGGGGGCGGCGGGAGAGCGAGAGGATGGAGAAGAGAGGGGAGAGGAAGGGAGAAGTGGGAAGAGGAAGGGAGAGGATAGGATGGCAGCAGGGGAGAGGACAGGATGGGAGAGGTGATTGAGAGGGGAGAGGAGGATGGGAGAAAAGGAGAGAAGGGTACAGAGCGGAAGGGAGATGGGGAGAGGTGGAATGGCGTGGAGATAAGCGAGTACAACAAGGTGATGGGGAGGGGGGGTGAGAGGAGATCAGAGAGAAGAAAAAGGGAAAAAGTGAATGTGAGACGAGGCAATAGGACAAGGTTGGCAGATATAAGAGTGCAGGAGATAGTTGGGATAAGGAGAGAAGGCATGGTATTAGTCGAGCTACCGATAATCGGTAGGCACATAATAACCCAGTTCCTCCACTACATTAACAAAGCCATTTTTCACTGGCACGTCCATGCCAAGCCAGTATGGCACACTAATAATGTGAGCGATTTTCCACTGACTATTTGCAGTACCGAGCCAGAACCAAAAAGCGATACGCGGGCCATGCAATACCTCTAAATCTATCTGGCTCGGGGCCAAGCGGGGCCAGGGGCAAGACCAATTATGGCGTCCCCTACACTCGTCTCGACTCGTTCACCGTGTGTGATGTCAGCGGCATGGTTTGGGTACTGCAGTGGAAAAACGACCGGGCGCCTCTTGAGCCGTGCTGGGGCTGGCTGGGCACGGCCCGAGCACGGTTCGGTTGTGCCGTGGTAACAGCGGTGATAAGCGTCGTAGCAGCAGCGACGACTCACACGAGGGGTCCGGTGCCCCCCTGCAGTTTCATGTAGTCAAAGGTCCCGTTCATCACCCCCTCCACCTCTTCCATGTACGCTCTCCAGTCGATCTCCGTGTCTGCGGCACAAAGGCATCGGACGTCAGCGCACGGAGGACGTAACAAAATTGAACGACGGATCGATTACAACAATAATGATGATGATACAACGTGTAACGCGCTGCACAATCTTTCCACGGACATAAATGACTGCGACTCTGAGGTGCGGAGCCAAGCTCAGGGTGGAAGAGCTGGGGCCTTTAAGCATCTCTTAGAAGTCGGTGTGAATTGAACGCTGCTGCTGCTGTGAATGTGCAGCAGCTGGATGATGATGACGATGATCATTGCCGTGTTCCAGACCGCGGGGGGGGGGGGGGGCTGCAGCAGAGAAAGGACGCCGGCAGTGACGGGCCTGCTCTTGGGCGTTAAGAGATTACACTGGTCAACACACTTTTTCTGGCATAAGGTATTCCAACGGTTGTAAGGTAATTTGGGGTGCTGATTCCAAATCTGGCATCAGTTTTTGTCTATCACATCAGGTTTTTGAGATATCAAATATTGCATTTTCAATAAAAACTGCAGAAGAAAAATATTAAATAAATGTGGATATCTACATAAAATGATATTATAAACACACTATCCTAAAAATACAGCACCATATTTTAACACTAAAAAGCAGTCACGGACTCGCAACAACTTCCAATCATAAGTGACAGAGTTAATTTCGGGTAAAATCAATGAAAATGGGGGTAAATGCCGATAGCATAAAAATAAGATGTGATGGAGCAAATCTGAGATCAGATTTTTGAATCAGCACCCTGAAATTACTCTAAAACAGCTGCAAAAGTCCAGGCCAGAATTTTTTTTTTGTTGACCAGTGTTATCGACAAGTCTACATGGGCCGAAATCAGCGACGCGTCACTCGAGAGCCGGCGTGTTTTACAACGGCAGCGCCATGCTTCGGACGCAAGGATTGACAGCCGCCAGACGCTGTCAACGGCCGCCACTCTTTGCTGGTCGAAGGGCAGCAGCTGCCAGGGAGCATCAGGGACCCACGCCGGTTCCTTTCGCATTCTTCAGGGGATCAGGAGGAGGCTGGAACCGGAGGAGGCTAAAACGGTTCGGACACACGGACGTACGCGGAGAGAGTGCTGCGGTAGTAGACGTGGGGTAAGAATAGCAAAGTCAGATGCGTATGCTGCTCCTTCTGCTGATGCTTATACCCCCCCTCCCCCCACAGAAAGCATAAATAGCAATGTCAGTGTGCCAAAAGTTTCACCGGATTGTAAGGACGGAGCACAAATCAATGCCATCATTGTCATCGTCGCCGTCATCAGCCACGGCCAATCCACTGCCGGACGAAGACGCCGCGTCTCACGATTTCAAGATGAATTAATCCACCCAGCGCCTGCACAATAGATTATTTGATCACTCCCATCTCCCCCGGCGGACCTCCTCTCGGATGGATGGGACCTGCCATTCAGTCGTTAGTCACACACGTCAGACATTACCCCTGGTAGTGATGTACCCTGCCGGGGGGGGGGGGGGTGAATCGAACTCTCCAAAAACACTGGATTGCAAGTTCACAGTGCCGACCCACACTTCTGCCCCCCACCCCCAGTGCACCTCCCACGCCCCCATCCCCCCAGTGCCCCCCCACCCACCCCCCAGTGCCCCCCCACCCACCTCCAGTGCCCCCCACCCCACTAGTGCCCCCCCACCCCCCAGTGCCCCCCACCCCCCAGTGCCCCCCCCCACTCCCAGTGTCCCCCCACCCCCAGTGCCACCCACCCCGTGCGCCCCCCCCACCCCCAGTGCCCCCCTCCACCCCCAGTGACCCCCTCCACCCCCAGTGCCCCCCACACCCCAGTGCCCCCCTCTGTCTGGCTGTCATTTGTGACCAGGTCGATTCTGAAAAAGCGAATAAGCTCAGTGGGCCTTACCTGGTCAAGTAAAAACAATGTTTGTTTTATATTATTTGTAACCTACTCTATTTGCTTACCTTCTCTAGACTTTACACTCCTATCGTGTTTTTGGTTTTACTGTTCGTCGTTGTAACGTCCTGGGCCCCCTACTGCAAAAAAAAGAGCTTTATAGTTCATCGGATTTCTCTTCCTGCAGCAGAATTTTTCTGATGACATCTCATCTCCCCCCTACCGCACCCCCCCACCCCGGCCCGCTACTCACAGGGCACTGCGCGGATGATCCACGCGTTGAGCAGCACCTCGGCGAGGAGCAGAGCCCCCCCCAAAAGCCACGTGCAGTCCGGCTCCGTGAGCAGACGCCGGCGGTCACGCCACGCGGCGCGCACGCACGACGCGAGGCCGCGGGGAGACCACGCGGAGGAGGTGGACGAAGAGGTGGACGAGGTGGAGGAGGTAGCAGGAGGAGGGCGAGAGGAGGCGACGCGCGGGGGAGCCATGGCCGAGGGAGGGCGCGCTCTGTGCGATGCCCCCCAACGCAGAGGGAAGAGAGACGAGAGAGAGAGACACAGGCGGACTTCGATTCCGATTCTTGACATCGATTTCATCCGCGGTTGATTTTAGTTGGATCGATTCTGGCGACGAATCAGTGTCGGTTAAGTTGGGGTGTGAGTAGCGACGACTTTGGGGCCGTCCATAAATGACGTCACACAAATGACGTCACACACCTAGGGGGTGAGGGGGGGGGGTCAGACATTTGTGACGATATGTGACGGGGGGGGGGGTGAGAAATGTGACGTCACATCAAATGCGCAACTTTAAATAAATATAGACACCACGTTCTACTTAATTAGACTTTTTAGTAAATGTTTTCTCCTACAACATCAGTGTAGCACCACATTAAATACGCACTACAATTACAATAGTTTAAAGCGATTTGAAGCATGTTTTATTTTTGGGCGTGGGGGGCAGAGCTTTGTGACGTCATATTGGAGGGGGGGGTCTGACTTTTTGTGACGTCGTGTGACGATGGGGGGGGGGGGGTCAAAAATCGTCCAAAATCGCGTGACCTCTTGTATACCAGGCGAGGTAGTTAACATCTCACCACGGAGAGAGACACATTGCAAACTCCACATATACAGCAGGCGTCAGAGTCGAACCCACGACCTCCTGTATACCAGGCGAGGGAGAAAGTCATGTAGAAGGGAAGTAATATTTTATTATTAATAATAATTTATTATTAATAATTATTAATAATAATTAATAATTATTATTAATAATAAAATATTACTTCCCTTCTACGTGACTTTACCGAAAGAACCAAGAAGATGAATCCCTGCAGTCACGAAAGCTTTAAATCGAAATTCGCATGAATCTGTTTGATGAATCGATCCAAATATCTGAGACACTCGATTGAAAAAGTGTCCGGTATGACTGTGTCGTCCGAATCGAATTTTAAAAATGTAATCTCCGAATTGAATGGAACGGATCGATTATTGGTTTTGCTCGAGGCGACCCAATCTATTGATAACCGCGGCAAGATGATGTCGAGAAAGTTGCAGCTGCTCCGAGATCGAACGTTATTGTGAATCGATTCGATAATCGAATCGCGTGCCAGCATCGCAAGATAGAATCAATACCACGGTCTCGGTGGTGAGTCTCCATCGTGAGTCGTGATCTATCCACTGCTGGATGAAGCTCCCCTTTAAATCACCACCTTCCACTTCAATTAAGTTTCATAATCAAATCTGCAGTGTTGCATGCGCATGAATCCGCTGTGTGACTTCAAAATAAAAAAAATATGCGACGTTTCGGGTAATGGCCCTCCTTCATAGTACTTTTTTTAAGGCCGCACAGTGTCATTGATGAATGTGTTTAGTTTGTTTGAATTAATGTGTAAACAACCCTAACGAAGATCCCCCTATAGACTCTTAGGACAAGCGCTTTTAGTGAATAATATCACCTAAGGTTGGCGTGGCACACGATGGGGCGGATGACCACCACCCCACGCCCGGCCTACTTTGTCTTCCCGGAGCCACTGTTGATTACACAGCCGCATCAATTACTCATTTAAGGCTGAGTCGACCTAAGAGACTCACAACCACTCACGCATGACGCCACGTGGAATCGCCACGCCGAATCGCTTTCTGCGCATGCGCAGTCGTTTGGCTTGTTGCCCAATGAAAATGTACCATCGCTCGAAACGTCGCTTATTGTACATTCTAGTTGTTTTTATTGTTACTTTAAAGCCACGGTGTGATTGACGACTGTGTGTTGAGGTCTTTAATGTTTAATAGCGATCGTAAGGAGGTCGATGCGGAAGCGGAAGTGGACAGTACTCACAACAACGTGCGTAACACGTGGCCGCCGGCAACACGTGCTCGAGTGATTGGTGGTGGTGGTGGCACTTGCTGCCTTAATTGATTTGGTGGGTGGGTGGGTGAGGTGTGGACAGGGTAGTGGCGGCGATTGCTTGACCGCTTAATTCTCTCGTACAAAAGTTATCGATCGATCGGCTTGTACGACTGTAGTAGCGATGGACCTTTCGCCCAGAGATGGAGCGCGTTTTCGTGAGCGCTCCTACTGGGACGAACGCTACTCGAACGGCGAGGAGGTGGTGGTGAAGGAGGGCGAGCAACGTGAGTGGTTCGGAGCTTACGCGGCACTCAAAGAAGCGCTACCCGAAGATCTTGACCGGAGCGGAGCCATCCTGGAGCTAGGTAAGGATGGGGAGGGGAGGTGTCACTCGAAGCGGAATTTCCAAGGCTCAGTCTCGGTATGGCACACGCTGTTGTTCTTCTACCGCAAGGTAAACACGGAAGGTTGGGCCACAAGGTTGGTCGAACGTCCGCCCGACGTTGAAATGCCTACTGGGAATAAAAGGCGTTGTAAATTATCCAGTGGCAGTGATTGTGTGAGACGTGTGGCAGCAAGGCTGTAGTTTGCAGTTGAGCGTTTTTAAGCGGCGTCTTTATTTGTGGATATCAACAATAACCCAGTAAAACACGCAAACAACGTTGGTCCGACATTGGTTGACGTTGAATTGACATAACACCAGATGCAATCGTAAAGTTGCGGAGATATCGCCAAATTCGATATGGTGTGACGATGTATCACGATGGATCCTCGGTGTATCTCCTGTCTCTCTCTCTCTACTCCCCTCTTCATCCACGCGGTGTCGCTGTTACCTCGGTAAATGGCTTGGCACGTTGCAATTGAGACATCCCACTTGGGGGGGTGGGGTATGTGTGTCATTTTGAGGTTTTAATTACGTTCTCATAATCATAATATATTGTTTAATTGTCATCATAATTGTTACATTCACATAGTTCACCTGGGAAATCTGGTGAGTTGAAATGTTTTTCGTTTGCAAGACAGGGTGTTCAGGGTAAACTAAAATATTGGTATTCGTATGTTCAACTTCTTTTGAACCTGTCACCCCCTGGTTCCTATGACTCCGAGTCGGCACCGACTAAATACATAAATAATAAACCACGGTGGCGAGATGTTAACTACCTCGCCTGGTATACAGGAGGTCGTGGGTTCAATCCCGACCCTGACACCTGCTGTAATATTTGGAGTTTGCGTGTCTTTCTCCACGTGGTCGCATGGATTTTTCTCCGGGTCGTCCGGGTTTTCCTTCCACATTTCGAAACATATGTTGAGAGTATTTGGCTGCTATACATTTCCACATAATCCACTAAGTTGAGCTATCATTTGTGACCTGGTCACTTCTGAAAAAGAGCGATATAGCCCAGCGGGCCTTACCTGGAAAAAAAAGAAATAATTAGTGGGTTTTTTTAGTGAAAAATATAATGCAGTGAAGACCCCATAGCTTCCAGTCTTCTGTCACAGGAAGACCACCAAAGGGATATAACTTGATTTATGATTGATGTCTGGGTCAGATCGCGTAGAATCAAATGTGTGTTGTAAACCCTCCACCCGACACAGTCAAAAAAAGTTGCCACGTGAACAGACGTGCCGATTAATGACTGCTTAGTCATTCTAGATTTGAAGCTTTCGTGACTGCAATGATTCATATTCTTAGGTTTTTTCGGTAAAGTCACATGACTTTACCGAAATAACCTAAGAATATGACTGCTTAGGCACTTAACCGGTAACGTCGGAGAGCAATCCACGCGGTTAGTCAGAGTTGTGTAAAATGTCCTTCACCCTAGAATCGAACTTCTTTGGTAGAATTCCCATTTCCAACCAATTCCTTTGGTAGAGTCTCCTGGTAGCAGAAGACATCTGAAAGCGGTGGCTCTACGAACTTATTCATTAAACATCTGCAGACTCTTCCAGGAGAATCCTCCTCCGCTCCTGAACTTCTGAACATCGGGGGCCATAGGATCCAGGGGGCAGGCAGGACTCCACCATATTATTTGTGTCAATGTTGACCGTGATGGAACTCATCACCGTATGTATGTAACCGTATGTATGTATATGTATGTTGAACTTCTTTCGGACCGTACATAGCCAACCGTGCTAATCGGAGGTGCGAGGGAAAGACAACAAACTAAACACAAACAGTTCGAAAGAAATGTTACCGGGGCGTGACTACGACCGAGACTGCTTAACCAAAGACCAGAGCGTGCCCGTGACTGCCCGTGACGGCCCGTGACAAGACGGAGTTACCGAGTCCCTACGAAGTGAAGGCTCTGACTGAGATAATCCAGTAGTGCCTACTCGAGGTCCTCGTGACAGCGGTGTACCGAGGAAGACCAACGCCTAGTAATTGGCTCCACAGTACGTGCACATACATATGTTGAACTTCTTTCGCGCCGTACGTAGCTAGATTTATAGAGTTCACCGCTTTTGGCTGAGCTGATAGCGGTGACGGTGATAGGCGGGCATGAACTCCTCAGGTCAAGTCCAGATTCCAGATCCTCCCTCCTTTTTCACCTCTGCCCATGACTCGCTGCCTCCTCCTCAACATTTATGTGCCACATTCTCTTGTGCAGTGCTGGTGAGATGAGTTCGCATTTAGCTGCTACAGCTTTTGAATTCCCAGGTGTGTGCAGGTGCCTATTATACAGGTATGCATTGTAGCGTGTGTGTATAGTAAGGAAAGGTATGTTTATGGATGGACAGGTGTGTGTAATGTGTACCTAGGGTGATGTGTAAACATTGACACTGGGAAGACAAAGGCGGACCGGCGTGGTGCTGGTCATCTACCTCGTGTGCCGTGCCAGCCTTCATAGGTGCTCGCTACCAGCACTTGCCCCAAAAGTCTGTTCATGCTAAAAGGGTCGATCTTCGTCTTTTTTTTACGTGTTATATATAGTTGGTTGTGCATAACAGGCATGTTTATGTATAATGGCTCTTACTGGAATCCGAGGCTGGTTAAATTAAGAGTGTTTGCTATTCTCTCTCGGTATAATACACTCTTTCCACACTCGGGGTGTGGTTTTGGATTTCATAATTTTGGATTCTCTGACGTTTGGGGCCCATGTCTGTCAGATGAAAAGTCTTAATTGTGTATTTAAATGTATTACGTTTTAATAACGTTGATTTTTGTACGTGCTAAAATTCGATAGCTTTAATCATGAAGGCCTAGCCGAGCCCTCGTCATCTCTCGCGATCCTATGATGTAACAAGTCGCCTTGCATTGCCATGCAAAGCTTAATTGAGTAATTTTAAATAACAGAAGTTGGATGATATTTTTTTTACATAACGTTCCATCAGTAAAGTTTTGTTTAATACAAACGTTTGTATATTTTAATAATTTCAGCAAGAGCAATGTCGTCGTGCATCGTGAAAATGGCGCCACGTGATGGCACTTTTGGCGGGAAAAGCACAGGGGATGTAACGCCCCCTCCTGTGACATCACTTCCTGTGGTGTCACATTTTCGGACGAATCCGTAACCCCACAGCATTTTCTAAATCGTCTGATGTTCAGCAGCTAGGGTTGATTTTCAAATTCATGCACAAATCTGGAATGCACCCCTCAGACAGAGGTGGGTTTGTAGTGGCATTTCCAGTAGTGTGTTGTGGTCTGACCTTGTGCATGTGTGTGTGTTCTGGCCTGGCTTGCCTGTCCCACCAAACCCTGCAGGCCAACTCGTGTAAATTTTCACTTCTTTTGAATTGGACATTTCCATCAATCGAGGCTCTTAATGGCCGTGTAATTCCTTAATAACGTAATCAGATGCTTGCCCTATCGGCCGCCCGATGCACAATCAATGCCCTAATGTGATGAGACTTGTGTTTAGCCCTGAGCCTGCGTTTGAGTGAGTGAGGGCGAGCTGGCGAGTGGATAAATTGAGTGTGTGTGGGCGAGCCGGTGGTGAGTGAGCGAGTGAGCGAGTGTGGGTGAGCCTGCGTTTGAGTGAGCGAGTGTGGCTGAGCCAGTGGGTGAGCGTGTCGGCGTTGGTGAGTGAGCGAGTGTGACCGATTGCTTCGTAAAGAGACACGCGTGCAATCGGGCGAAGGACGGATGGGAGGGGAGGGTGGGAAGATGAGGTATGGAGAAGGAGGATGATGGAGGGATAGCTAACGTGAGGCGGAGGCAGGGTTGGGAAATAACGCCCGGTGAGGTTAGGCTGGGAAATCCAACGCAGGTCATCTTAGGCCGTCGCTGCCCCCTCCCTCTTCGACTTGGCACATCCCCCGGCCCCCCCCCCATTCCCTTCTGCTGGTGGGAGGATCATAATTAGTGCGGTCATTCAGTCTCATCAATCAGAGTCGTCCTCGCTGCAGGGTCTCCCCGTCGCGATGCTCGGGCTCGCGGTGCAGTGCGGTGTTTTAATTCCCGTCAACGAAATCGGCCGCGGAAAATATTCGTAGCAACGCCGAAGAGTGGCTTCCGTTATGTGAGGTGAATCGGGTGACCATTATTGTAGGAGCGTCTCCACCACCACCAGCAGTGGCAGGAGAATGGGAAGCCAGGTCACTAAGGTCAATCGCCCCACTCCCACCACCGCAACCCCCAAACTCCAGCATCTTCCAATTGGCCGTGTCTCCACGTGTGCGGTGCAGCTGGATTTCAATTATCGTGATTTCAGACGAATAATAACGATTATGATCTCAACTTGCAATGCGCCGCCGCCACCACCACCGCACACACGGCGTTCGCTCGCTCTCCTGGAGATGGAACGACTCGGAGGTGCGGGGGACGAACCATAGACGAGTGGGAATGGCAGCAGCAGCAGCAGAAGCCAGGCGGTGAGCTGGCACCAATAATTGCCTAAGCTCTGCGGTCCTCTATATATGTTCAGGTGATATCGGCCAATTCATGAGTGTTTACACGTGGAAGGAAAGCGGAGCACCTGGAGAAAACCCGCGTGTGCTAGAGGGGGCAACACTGTCCCATACAGATGAAACAGATGGGGATTAGTCCACACGTGTTGTACCTCCTTCTGACGAGCCAGGGTATGGCCCCTCGACGCTGGATCGCAGGCCACGCGCATAGCTGCCACCGTCAAGTTAAATATTTTTTTATACATTGCGGTGAATGTAGCGGCCTCTAGTGGCTCTCGGAGTAACTCTGAACCCATTTATCTGCAACAAATACAAATCGAAAGAGTCCATGACCGATACATAAATTGCGAGTTTGATTGAAGACCTCAGGCACTCGTCGGCTTTTCAATCTCGCTCGCTCGCTCGTTGTGTGCGCTGTCTAATACAGTCCTGAACAAACTATGAATCGTATATTAAACCACGGTGGTCTGCGTTCCTTTAACAGAGGAAGCACAGCGACACGAACTCTCTCTGTCTG